GCGGTCTTTGCATGTCCAGGAAATGGTCCCCTCCTCACCTTGTCGACTCAATCCATTCGTCTTCGACTTTCGAGATCTTCCAGGGAGTTTTCAATTATAGACATGACTTGTATGGTTATGCTTTGTTTTAGATTTCTTTATTAAATGTATAAGAGGGAAAAGAATAAAAGAGAATATTAAAAAAATGCCTCATTGTATTGATAGAAACAAAATATTTACAAAGCCCTTATTAACCAAAAATCTCGTGATCATGGGCGGGGATCACGAGAGATACATCGAAGCTTTTCTATATATTTTCATATATTTTTTTATTATATTTTTAGAGATGGTAAAAATGATGAGCCCTAAATTGCTGGTCTTCCTTATCCCGTCTCTTACTCGAGCTTTGATAAGGGCTGCTCGTCCACCTTTGGAGTAGATGCGTCAAAAGTGATCCATCCTGCCTCTATCAAACTTTGGACCTTGTGTTTTAAGGCCATACAGTTTTCAACGGAGTGTCCCAGAGAACGTGAATGGTAATCACAGCTTTCATTAGATTTATATCGTTTTGGGTATGGTGGCTCCATCTTCTTGGGAGGGATGCGTACGAGGAGTTTGGCATCTAATAATTTTGACAGCAGGCTTCCATAGGAAGTTGGGATTGGAGTGAATTTCCTCTCTGGCCTGCGTGGCTTGATCTGCTGCGAGGAGGAAGAAGGAGTGGCGAAGTTAATTACATTCACGGTTCCTTCCTTCTTCTTTCCAAAGCTCTTTTTAACGTGTTGAGTAGAGGGATTGGAGGAATTCTGTGTAATTCTTCCGCTTTTTAAACCTTGCTCTACTCTTTCTCCTATAATGACCACGTCTGCGAAGAGTGTTGATGTGTTCCCTATCATTTTGTCATAATAGGGACCAGTCAAAGAGTTGATGAACATGGATGTAGTCTCTTTGTCGGATAGAGGAGGTTCTACTTGTGCTGCCAATTCCCTCCATCTTTGGGCATATGCCTTGAAGGATTCATCGTCTTTCTTGCTTAGTAGTTGTAGATCTGCTCTTTCAGGGGTCAGATCAATATTGTATTTATAGCGACGAAGAAAAGCATATGCCAGATGTCTCCAGGTTCGGATTTGCCCTCCTTCCAGCTGCATATACCAGTTCAAGGTTGATTCAGCCAGGCTCTCCTGAAAGTAGTGGATCAGGAGTTTTTCATTATCAGCATGTACAGCCATCTTACGGCAGTACATTGTAAGATGGCTTTTTGGACAGGTCATCCCTATGTATTTTGGGAAGTCCGGAGTTTTGAACTTATTAGGGAATTGAATATTTTTGACGAGGCACATGTCAGCCGCCTCTTTAATATCAAAATTATGCCCCTCCATGGCTCTCAATCGTTCTTCAAGAGCAGTCATCTGTTGTTTTGATACTTCTGGTGCATGAATATGCACTGCCCTTGTATCAGATTGGGTTTGTTCATCATTGGGTCCCTCCTCTTCTTCTTGGTGAGAGACTTGTCCACTTTGAGGACCCTCCTTTTGGAGATTCTGCTGACGCATCATTTCTAACATCTGTGCCATTTGTTCTTTTAGTGTATTAAGCTCAGTTTCCATCTTCTTAGCTTTTTGGGCGCGAGTGAGGACGGGCGGAAGACCAGCCACTTTCTAAATGATTTTAACAATTTTTATTATAGCTTTTTTTTTTAATTGATTGGTGTATCCTAGAATGAATGTGTTTATGTATGAGAGATTTTATTATGATGATGCTTATGCATACCTTTCTTAGTGCACTTATTTTCTCTCTTAATTTTGCCACTTATGAGGTGGTATGAATGATACGACTTTGCCAAGAATCTTTTTATTATAAAAAGGAATTTTTTATGGCTTTCATTCGTTTTTATATTTTTTATGACCCTTTATCTCTTCTGTCGGTCAACGTGGCTACTTAGCTTACAAAGAACCTGAAACCAGGCTAGCTTAACTGAAGACTGTCCGAGATAAAAGTCTTTTATCTTTTCGCTTTTTGTGATTTTTAGGGTTTTTCATTTTTTTGTTTGTTGTATGATTACCCTATGCTAATGCATCAATACAAATGCAGCAAACGTATGCACACACAATTCATACATCCACGAGCAGAGCCACGCTTATTTAATCACGAGGTGGGATTTTCCTGCAGAAACGTGCTTGGTTTAGGTGGTTCTAACTGTTCTCACCAAGGCCAAAGGTCCCCAAGGTGCCCCCATTATAGGGACCTCTCAATCTCTCAATCCTTGGGTCATGCACGGAACTCCGTGGCGACATCCTTAGACCAAAAGAAGAGAGTTATCACCTTGAGTTGGTGGTTTCCGACAACGGTTGTAGCCCCATGTGCCAACAAGCCGGTCGTATCTGCCACCCACTCCCTATAGGTATTCACTCTTGCCCCCGGGTATAGAGGGACTGTTGTGTGCAAGGGTTTTGTGTGCAATTTATATTTCAAACAATTGCAGAAATAATCATACAGCAGTTATTTAAAGCCATACAATAAAAACATACAGAAGGGTAAAGGCGTAATTTCAAATCTTTACTTAGTTTGAATTTTTCCGTCACTAAATGGGATCAACTCTCTAGCTTCCCCAGCGGAGTCGCCATTTGTCGCCGCCGTCCGTTCCGACGTCCGGAGGACGTCTCGAACGTTAATGCGAGCGGTCGCGAATAGATGGTTGAGACTCGCATTTTTTGTTAAAATTGTGTTCATTGCTTCCGAGGCGCTCAACACTGAATTGTCCTCTAATAAAAGCAAGGTTTTCGAAAAGGGGTTCTTTTGGAGTCGCCACCAATGTTTTGACCAGAAACATTGGAAAAGGAAAAAAGGCGTTGATTTTATTAAAAACCAACTTGGCCATTATAACCAGAGTTGGGTAAGGGAGTTAGTTACGTGTGGGGAAGGTGTTAGCACCCCACAACGCCCCTTTCGGGTTCCCTATGACGGATTTATTCATTAAGTGAAGATTATGAGAAATTACGCATTTACCCTATTTTATTCGTACGAGTTATTTAGATATGGTTATCTACATGATGTATCTACATTGCATACGAGAAAACAATAAATAAAGCGATAAAGAAGAAGAGAATTGAGAAAAACCTCCGTAGCAAGCTTTATATTATGATTCTTGTACAAAGAGGACGCGTTTCGGCGAGTCCTTCGCTCTACAATTGTTCTCTCCTCTAGATTACTAGACTCGACTCGACTAAATTTTCTAGAAGAATCGAATGCTGGAATACAAATTCCTTAACCGATTGTTACCTTTTAAAGGCAATCGGAAAGATCATTCGAGAGAGGGAGAGAAGAAGACAAGTCTTCGAGTTGTGCTGGGTGTGTGAAATGAGACAAATGAGGCTCCTATTTATAGCATTTTTCGCCACGGAACTTTGGGATGGCCGGTCCCAAACGCGTTTTCCACGTTGTGTCAATGCGGGACGGCCGATCCGGGTTGAGATGGCCGTCCCAAATGCAATTTAACGAAGGCTGAGACCCCTTGGGGTTTGGGACGGCCGTCCCACATTCGGGACGCGCGTCCCAACTGCTTAATTTCAGTTGGGACGGCCGTCCCAACCCTGGGATGGTGGTCTCGACCTGTTTTGTCCAGCCTTTGTATTTTGGGACCCTGAGAAGCTTTCCTTGCCGTTTTCAAACGTGGATTGGTGCCGATATATGTCCGTTGAAGCTTTATCTTCGTGTAGGAAGTCTTCTTTGGCCTTCATTTGTCATGTTGGGCGAGCTTTATCTATGTATAGGAAGTCTCCTTTGTGTGGATGAGTGAACTCCGTCTTATTATGAGAGGTCTTCTTTAGTCTTTATCGTGCATATGAGCGAACTCCATGTTGTTGCGGGAGGTTTCCTCAGTTTTTGGGAAGCCGGATGAACTCCATCTTCGGGCGAAGTTCCTCTAGCTTTTATTTTGAGAGGCCGGGCAAAATTAGGGGTCTACATCCCCAAATTGGTCTCCCCTTCTTAGTATAGTGTATTCTGTGGATCCCCTTATTCTCCTCTACTTATTTGTTGCTTGCTCTCTGATTTCCTGCCTTTTTTTTACAATTTTTATTTTAAAATTTTTAATGGAAGATATTAGACAACCTTTTTTAGGCAAAGACTACAAAACAACTTTGTTAGCTGTTGAACAAATTACAAAATCTCCTCCAATGGGATATAAAAAGCCTACTTCAGAAGTAAACTCTACACACAGTCTTGATTGGACAAAACAACACGATAATAGTGCTTCTAGAAGAAGTGTCTAGAAAATTAACTTGCTTAATAGATTTAAACAAAAATACAAACAAAACAAATGAGATAGACGATCTCTACAACCAACTTTCTAAACTGTCTTTAGGAACTAACACACATAGACAATTTCTAAGAATACTCAGAAATTTGTCAAAGTTATAACAAAGAAAGAAGAAGTTTCTTCTTCCACAAATAATATTGGGAGTTAGTTATGTTTACACAGCCCAATAACTCCACACAAACACTAATAGAAAGTGTTGATATGAATAGTACAACATATTTCTAACCAAATACAAAGATTTCTAAAAATCTCTAAAAGACTAAGAAAACATCAAATCAGGAGTCAAAATCTAATACAACATCTAGGAATTTTAGATAAATTCCTAAATAGACAAAAATTTATTGGTGTCAAACGTTTAAAAGACTTAATAAATATATAATAAAATACTAAGATAGGATCATATATAAAAATAAATTCCCTTGAATCCAAGATACTTATACAATATGGGTTCAGAAATGACTAACCTTTGCTGATATAAAAAACAAATTAGAAGATTTCATCTTCCATACAACCCTTATGATTAAAAAAAAAGAAATCTCAACCAAAATATGTATAAGATTTGTTTTAAAAAATGTCTGGGTGAAAAAGATTAATTTTACCTAAATTTCTCATTGTCATAAAACAAAACTTAGATATTTAATCACAGGTGAGAGGATTTTTTTAGCTCGAACTAACACCATTGTTGTCCGGGGTGTGAGGGAGCATGGAAGAGTTACGAAAACTCGAGAAAGTGCAGAGGATTCTGGAATTTATGGAATCGCGAGGGGTTTCAAACTCCAATCACCACTCTAACCGCTTCCTCGCCAATTTCATTATCTTCATGATCCAACCCTGCGAAGACCTTTCCATCCAAGACAAGTGCTGCATGCTTTCGCAGTTTATTCCCTCTGTAAGTTCCACTTCCTCATTTGCATTTGTATGATTGGAAGTGAAATTTGAAATTGCTTCATTTCCCTTTTACAGCTCTCATCTACATTCCTCGAGGACGCGTATCAACACCACCTTGTCACCACCACCAATGAACAAAATTCTGGTGCCGCCCTGCTATGTCTATCTTATCATGTTCATGCGTTTTTTATTTTTTATTTTTTATTTTTTATTTTACTTTTTTGTTTTAATTAGGTTTACTCTCTATATTTACATGTATGGAATCGAATGTTCTGTCTCCAGAATCGCCCTTTATCTGGCTCCTGTTCAAAACTTATAAGAATAGATGTAACTGTTAGTGGCATTATCATTTATCCGGGTTTGTTTTACTTAGAGATAGTAGTACTACTACTACTTTTCTGTCTAGTTTCATGATTTCTCTGAAATGAAAAGCACAATTCTTTCATTTGCTTCACACACACATATCTAATGCTAAAACTCTCTCGACGATATTAACTATCTATGATTGGGGGTGCATTAAATGCCTTCCACTGCTTTATTACCATAATGTGTGCTTACTTTTCAAAAAATTTGTTCATATTTTTGTTTCATGTTTTAATTCTACTTTTATAATATATTTTTTTTTTTTAATTCTACCTTCACTTAGGTTTTCAACAAAGTCTTGTTGGAAATGATTTGCTTAGTTGTAATCAGACGCAAGAGTACAGTTTATGGCAAAGTTATAAGGAAAACACGGCCATGGTTGGGCTGGACTCCATGCAAATGGCAAATTCTACTCTTGAGGATTTTGTAAGTCTATAGTCAAAAAGTAACTTTTTCTTCTGTGATTTTAATATTTTGCTATTTTGCTTGATTAGGTTAGAAAATGTGAGTATTTGCATATCAGTTGGCAATGTGACAATCTTGCAACAAATAAACTTTATCAGTATCTGAATAATATCATGTTTATGGCATCAATTACCATATAGTGCCATATATAGGGTCTGCGTTGCAGCTTTTTTCACTACGAACAATGTACAAGAGTAATTTGGTTGAAGGCTTGATACTATTTGATGCAAACCCATACTTTTAAAACTTGCTTTGTCAGTTTGATATGAATTTGAACTTTTTTTTTTTCAGTGCAGATCTTATTTTATGTTTCATGGATTGGATGTAAGCAAGCCAGAATCAATCTTCAAATACTTACCTATTCTTTCATTCACAGAGAGCTATATTTATCAGGTATATGCTACATTGGTGTTATTAAAGTCGGCCACCCTTTTATTTATTCAAGTCAATTATTGTTTTGAAGGTGTGGGGTTCATACATGTGGCTCCATTGCATGTGTGGAGCTAATTAATAAGCCCAAAAGTTCATGCTGCTAGAGGGGAAATTAGATAGACCTCCTCAAGCCAGATGAAAGGCAAGGCAGGTGGCTATGAACTGATTGACCTTCTCAAGAGCCACTCAACATGACATCTTTTGAGGATTAATGTCATTGTTGCAATTGAAATGACATATATTTAGTCCTATTGTGGAGTGACTGGTCATGGCACGTCTCTTGAGTGTGAAGTAATGATGGTGATAACTGGCATTGACCTGTATGACTCTTTGTTGATTGGGGCTGGGCCTATATAGGGATCATCATTTCAGCTGTCAAAATGATATCAGTTGTCATCCTAAAACAGTTCTATTGCACACATGATGCTTCCCATTTCCAATATGTATTCAATGGGGTTTCATGTTTACCCAGGTGGTACAAGCGCTTATTTTTGTCAAGTGTCTCATCTCAGCAAAGTCAAAGGTCAAGTAATGCACTGTGACACTTCTCAAATTTCAGCATAAGCAAGATTTGGTTGCTTTTAAATTTCACTACCCCGTGCAGCCTTGCAATGGGATTTTATTGCATTAAAATGCTCAAATTTCTATGCCCATACCTCAAGTGCCTCAGTGGGTTATTTGGCCTTTAAGTTTGTGGAGGTGAGAGTTTTTATGCAATATTGCATTCAACTAACACATGAGGGTGAAGTGGGCTATTTTTTTTCCTACTAGGAAGCATATGTTTTGAAAAAATTGTGGGTGTTACCTTGAGACTTAGTGATATATTCCCATAGAAAGCATGGAATCTGCAAAAGCTGTTATTTTTCTGATAGCCTGTTGCTTGTACGATGCAGCTAGATAAAATGAATGAGAAATTGCTACAAACACCCACCAATGGAAAGTCTGTATTTGGTGCAAAAGATAAGGTGATTGATTTATTCAGAATTTTGATGTTCGGGTACTAACTTTCAATTTTCTTATATAATTTAATTTTAAATGTAGAGAGAAACCAACTTATTGGCTTCTTGCTTCTCAAATGACCCGGCTAGCCCACTTGTGACTATTCTTGAACACAAAGGCCTTTTGACAGAAAGGTGTGTATTCTGCTTTCTATACCTTACATTTCCAGGGAAATAGTTAAGGTTTAACTTAATTTGGATCAATGTTCTTTTTGTTTAATGAGATAAGGATAAGAGAAGAACTTAGACAGGGAGAAGAGTACTGGGCTCTCGAAAGAAAGCTTTGTTCTGCGCTAATAAACAAAGAGGAGGTATACATAATTCATGTGCACTTTTTCATACCCTTGAGAGAGTGGATATAGGTTGATTCAAATCCTTTTTAAAGTTTATTGCTGGTAATTTAATTAATTATTAATTATTGCTACTCAGATTCTTGTTGAGGATGTGATGAAGGCTATTCATTTAAAATCTTTTGATTACCGAGTGCTAAATCTTCTTCTCTATGAACTGCAAGGGACTAAGGTACAACTGATTAGCGAAACATATTTAGTGGATTTGCATGATTCATCTTGCTCTTTTAATGTGCTTACACACATAGTTTGAGTTAGGCATTGGTTTTCTTCTAAAATATTTTCAGCAACATAAATTTCTACATAAAATAACAAATATTTTTAGCTAAATGTATGACTTTGGGAGAATTGTGTTCTTCTGAATCTGTTTGGAAGGTGGAGGAATTGCATATGGAGTTTCTCTCAATTTCGGAGTTCCTAGTGGAAGTTTCTGATGACTTGTAAGTATTACCTTTTCTTTCAGTTGGTGCTGGATACCATAATATCCCAGCTTGCTTTTATATTTCATACTTGAGAAAAATTTTGTTGTTATTATTTTATATTATTTTAAGGATTCACAGCTTATAGATATTCGGTAAATTCATCAGCAATTACTTCTTGTTCACACACACAGACGATAAAAATGTTTCTTTTGTTGTTTGTTCTCTGTATATTTATACATGAAGAAAGTATTTAGATACAAATAAATGGCTGCATTATATTTGCCAAAAAAAGGTGGTGGCATTATACTAAATTATTTTGTATTTTATTCTGTTCACTCCAAAGGTATTCCTTCTACAATAGTAGTAAAATTCTTTACCAAATATAGAAAGTCTAAGACAAAATTAAAATCTATAGCCATCACAATTTTCTGTATGTTTTTCTTTACTATAACTTTTGAAAGTTGTTTCCCAGCACCATTTTCAGATAATAACAAACTCATCCTTAATAATTATTTTTTATATCTTATTTGCTGTTGTTCAAATTTCATTTCTGTAAATTACATATGAATATATAGATTTCAGCCTTGTTCTACTTATTTTTCAGTTTATAATTTTATTCAACATAACTTTTCCGTCCTGATAACATTGCAGGTATGATTATGAGGTGTGTTCAATGATCCAAATTTTTTAATCACTATCTGTTGTAATTTTTTTTTAATCTTAATTTGATCGGGAGCTCCCTCTCAGGATGATGTTTTAGAGAACAATTTCAATATTTTGCGCATGTTTATCGGAATATATGGACCTTCAGCTGCTCCTGCTATATTGGTGAGTATGCCAAATGTTTACAAATGGTGCTGCTAATTTATATACTTGCTAATAGAAGTCAATATGCTCTGTTAAATTTTATTGATTAGCTGATAACTTTTTGGTAACAATTTCAAAACTTATTAGTTGAACCACCTTCATGCTGTATGCAGCAGGGAGATCAAGGTCCACCTATAATTAAAATCAGAAATACGTTAGCAAAACACTCTTTGACACTTTTTTAAACATACACTATTACTAGGTGAAAGTCCATTCTAGTCCTACGAAGAAAGAGAGCGGGCACTTATTATTTAGCTGGACCAGCCTGAGACCTGTGTTGAAAATAGAGTCCCATAAAATGTACTAACATTTTTCTTATTATTTGCTGATCTAAAGACAAATAGTTACAGTGTGGTACAGCATTTGACATTCTTATATTTCATTTTCTTTCATGATTGTTGAACTAAATACCCAAACTCAAGTAACGTTTCACTTCTTAGTGTCATGCATAACCTCAAGTCGCAAAAGTGGAGTGAGGGAGTATCGAATTTATGATCTCTCTACCACCCATTTTTACAGGGAGAGGTGCAATTAGAGTTTGTTGGACTCAAACCTCGTCGACAATGCATGCATGTGCAGATTGTATAGTGGAATAGTATTATTCTTGTTAGAGCCTTAGAAATCATTGCCCTTTCTCACCTATCTCGAGAGAGGAAAAGTCATATCAAGCTAATTTTGATAATCAGTATTGTTCGTTTGCCTGTATGAATGAGTTTGTTTTATTTCTGCCTTTTCATTACAATCGGTATAATCACAGTAGCTATATAGCATATACTTATTTAATATCATTAAGATATTATTATAACGTCAAATCCTGAATTTCAGGCGAAGCACATTAGTGAGGCTGAAGATAAGTATGAAAGTTTATTAAAATCACTTGATCCACATCTCTCTCTGAGCTACCAGAAAAGATGTGCAGAAGCCACTAAAGAAGGTAATTTGCTGGAGTCAGTCTAGTCATTCTAGCAGTATAATTAGACCATAAAATAACCATGTGCTACCATTATTTATTGGCAATTAAAATTTTAGGTGGAAATGTATCAGAGCACCCTCTTGGCACTTGGACTATTCCAACCGTGATTCAAGATGAGGAATTGTACAGATTAAAGTTGAAGTCGGATATTTCGTGAACGTGAACTTGAACTGTGTCTATCAGGTAATCCTTCCAATTCTAATGTTTTCACCAAGTGTCCTAGTCCTCACGATGAAACGAGGATCCAGCATAACATGATGAGTTCAAATTGAAATGTTGAAATTATAAGAGAAAAAAAGAAAAGACTCGCAAAAAAGATACGTTGGTGATTAGCTATTTATTTTTAAAACCGGTTTTACTCTCGCGCTAGTTATGATTGATAGAGGTATAGCAATGAGGCGTATCACATAAGTAATATTGCTTTTTATTCTTTTGTCTTCTTTTCGTTTTTAAGATAGATGCTTTTATCTGAACTATTATGGGAAAGGTATCAGGGCTAATGTTACTGACCATTAATGCTCTTCTCTCTGCAATTAGTTCAACACATTGTAAGCAACATTAGTTTAGGCATTTATAGTCAAGTTTAACCTAAAATTTAAGAGATGTATTTTTAATCAAAATGTAAATTTGGCAAACCCACTATTAAATACAGAACATTATTTGTCTTAATAAGGCTGACCAAATACATCTATAACTCAGGCTGATTTTATTATCACTTACCAGTAAATTGAATCATATAAGATTCTTTTGGTTTCAATCTTAGATCACACAACAAATTTGAATATCTTTTACATTAAAGAAATATAGGAAAAATAAGTGAATAAGACCAGTCTTGTGATAGAGATAAAAAAAATGTTACAGGATGAATTCTATAAAAAATTATATTGTATGTTTGATATATAAATAAATATAAAATCTGTCTCAGCTTGTGCTCATGATTAGCTTGAGAAAAGATTGAAATATGTTTCATTTTTTATAAATTATTTAATGTGAACTTAATCTTCCTAATTTTTTTAATATTTTAGTTTTGCTAAGTTAAAAAAGAAGAAATAAAAAACTTCTTTTTATTTTGTGATGAACTAGTATACAATTTAATGATGATATGTTGATGGTAGCTGAGTGACAGGTAGAAATTGTTTAAAATTATAAAAATATTTTAAATTTGTGTTTTTGGATATTATATGAAATAGTTTTTACACTTACTACATGATTGGATAAGTGATGAAGAAATTATATTAAATAAAATTCATTATATTTTAAATTAACTTTAATTAAAATGTATTTTGAAGTGATATGATTTATTTTTAAATGATTTTGGTTTTATTATTATAAATACTAAAACTTAGGGTAAATTTTAAGTCAAAATTAATGAAGACTCATAATTAATTTCTCTACCAAAGAATATTTATATAAACCTACCTTACGTGAAATTTTAAATTAAACCAAACATGTATTAGGTTAATATTAAAAAAAAAACATATTAAAACATTAAAGTGTGATGTTACATTTACTAAAAAAAATTGAAAATTCAGTACAGAATAGGTTTGACTAATAAAAGTCACTATAAAAAAACCCTGTGCATGACACCTTTTTTTTTTTCTACAGTAACCCATAACTGCATTACCTGGCTAAAGAAAAAATTATGCATGTTGGAAAAGGATGCAAATAAATAGTAATCACTAAAGAATGAAGCAAACAAATAGGAATCAAAATCAACTCTTTTTTTTAAACCAAATGAGTGACTATGCCTACGAGGAAATAAGTACTTTATTCTAGTTTTAGCAGGCGATAAGTACATTTTTTTTAATCATTAACACATATTTAAACTAATGTTTTTATTAATATATTTTAATCACATAACTATAATTATTCTTCATTTTATACTCAATTTCAATTGTATCACATTTCTTAAAATGGCAATAAATTTTATATATAAAAATATACAAGTAACATGTTTCCTCGAACTTATTTGCGGAAAGTACATATATTACAGAGACAATATGATTGTCCTTGTCTTTTCCGACATTTTTGGTTTGGCAATTATAAATAATTGAGTCCCCAATTGGAAATCTCAGCAAAATTCTAGGAAACAGTATATTATTTTAGTTTTTTTTAGTCACGGTGGAATTAAGAAGAAAGATGCTATTCTGTACATACAGAAAGAGAAATTAGTTTACTGTTTTAAAAAATTAATATTTTATTTAATCTTCTCATTGTAAGATGGTATCTGCATGCCTGGTCACTCACTGTTGATATCCCTCTCTGTTTCGCAGTGCCATGTCAATGGTCTCATGACAGTTTTGGCTAATTGCTAGCTGTGGAATCACAGTAAGGAATCTCCAAACCTGAAAAAGGAAACTGAAAAACAACATAGTCTCATGTACCCTTAACTTTATTTTTGTTTAAATATTTATCATATAAACTGTTGTTGATCTGTTCTTTTATAATTAATTTAACTGAACTCTAAACATTTTTAAATTATAAGCACTAATCATTTAGCTTTTTATTTTTAAAATAAGTATTCTGATTTTCATAGATATAAAATATTAGAATAAAAGACTTTTTTAAGGTGTTGAACTATAAATATCATAAATTTTGCAACATTAAAAATAACTAATACTTACAACCTTGATTTTATGTTTTATATAATGAGACAATCTCAATATTACTATACACGAATAATTTAAAGGTATTAATTAAATGTTATTAATTTTATTTACTTATTGTTTTCATTAAATATATAATTTATTTTATATTTTCTCAAAATGCATGAAATATATGATATTATACGCCCACGTCAGATAAAATTATCTACTAAAGAAATAAAAGACAAATGAATATATATTTTATTATTATTATTTCTTTCAATAAAAGTAATACGACAAAGAAACAATTTCAATATTGTTAGACACGAGGTTAATGACATGCTAGAACTGTCAACAGTGACTCTCCAGTTCATTACTGTACAAATTTGAATAACAAATAGTTTTACCTAGTTATTTATCATGGGTTGCTAATCACTAAATAAAAAAATAATAATGTTAGAGAAATTGAAACCCACCCTGCTAGATAATATAGAGAGACTCAATTTGATTATTCTTTGTTGAAGGTACAAAATTTCATCAACTCACAGTTATTCATCCTTCGGATTAAAATAATTACATGAAATTTTGGTATGTACTTGTATCATTTATGATGGCAAACCACTAAATCATTGTAAACTCTTAGTCATTATTAATTTCTTCTTTCACGCTACTTTGTTCAAGGAAATAGTTGAGTTCTTTTTGTCTTTTAGGCCAAGGAGATTCATTTTCTACTTAATGTTAATGCTATCATCTTCTTCAGAAAGCAGACAACACCCCTTTGCTTGCATGAGTAGCCATAATCCGGTGAAAAACTTCTCACTGTGAAATGCTAATGGTTAGGTCAAAGATAGTCAATGCTCAATATCATGACACTCCATGAACTGTATCAAAAATTAGATAGCCTAATAAATGTCAGTTTTAACTACCACCTGTCATTGTGTGTTTTAAAATTTTACCCACTCATACACAAAAAAAAAATTATCTTTCCAACCCTGCCACTTATAATCAGTAACAACAACTAATAGAACACTGGCCAAGGGGTCCTTGATACCTGATGTGGATTCTCCCATTTTGTTTACCTCTATTGAACTGTTCCTTTCACTTTTTCTGTCACACTCTGCACCCTTTCTCACTGTCCAGTGTCCACTATCCTTCTCTCTACACTGCCAACACAACATACGCACCCTCTGATTTATGCACCTTCTCTTTCTTCTCTCTATAGGCTACAGGGATAAAAAGCATTCATCACTCACAGACTAAAAATAAGTTCCCAAAATCATTTTATTTTTTTTCCTCCCCAACTTGTAGTATTATTAGCATCTCCCAACTCAGTTAATATTTAAATTCATTATTAGTGTTTGGGTATAGGTTGGGAATGACATCAAGAAATGACATGTTGGGCATTCATGATCATGTCTTCGCTCAATCCAATTCGGAACTCCACCATCACGATCTTGCTTGTTACAACAATTATTGTTACATTTCTACTCCACCATCTGTTGTGTCCAGTTTCTTGTTTCATTCCACCACAACATGCAATTCATCCATCGGTAGGCTTTAGTTGAAGTCATAGTTTTGTTGGTGTGTGTGATTTAAAAATGACTCGGTTGGGTTGAATTTTGTGTGCAGGACCCTTTATATGAGAAAAACAGATTAGGCTCAGTGCCCCCTACTTGCCACAATAAGTGCAACCAGTGCCATCCATGCATGGCAGTGCAAGTTCCATCCTTGGGCAGCCATGACCGAGTCCACCCAGCAAGTCTTTCCCCAAGTGCTGCAATGCAAGGTTTCTTTCTCCAGGGTAACAGGTACTCCAATTACAAGCCATTGAGTTGGAAATGTCATTGTGGTGACCACTTTTTCAACCCTTAGAAATTATTACATATACTCATGGATATTAATTATCCTCACATTTGTAGCATGGAAGTTGTTTACTCTGTTTTTTTTATTAGAATTAGAGTTTGATTTCTTTACCAGCTGAATTTATTTTATAATAAATAATTATATGAACCATCAATGCGAAAGTCCAATTCTATTTGAAAAGTAATGCAAATACTTAAAAATCTCCATCTAAGTTTTATCTTAAATTACTTCTGATACTGTAGTTGAAGGGTCTATCAGATTGCATAACAACAAAATGTGTCATTTGCGTCAGCATTGACTGGAGTTTGAAATCTTGTTCAGAATTTGTGAAAACCTGCAATGTGATTTTGTGATTGTGTCTAAAATCTATACTTCTGTCAAGTTTTATTTCAAGAAATAGATACTAGTTATTTGGTGTCTAGAATCATTTATCAGAATGATTTGAGTAATATTTAACTAGATACCTGTGAACCTGATTGCTCTGTGGAGTAAAACAAAATATAGATCAAAATAAACTGAAGTTTTTTTTATTTATTATATAAATTAAAATAAAGTCAATTCAAATGATTTATGGTTGAAATTTGATTAGTGGTGAGTTCATTCATATTTAATTTTTATTTGAACATCTGCTGATTTAATTAAGAGTGATTATTTGAAGATAAATATTTTCATTAGTAACTATTTTAATAATTAGAAAAAAGTAGAGACATATTTTATTGACACAATTCACTTAATCTATTAAGAATATAAAATTTCTCAGTATTGAATTAATCCGCATCTCTAGTTAAAATAAAAATTATATATATATATATATATATATATATATATATATATATTCTGTTTTAAAAAAATATTTATATTTTAAAATTGTAAAAAATTATATAATTAAAAATAAATAATTTTTTTATATTGTATTGTTGAAATATAAAATTATATTATAAATAAAATTAAAAATATTAATTAAATAAATTTAATTTATTAATTATAATTAAGTATTTTATTATATAATTATTTTTTTAATTTATCTAATAAAATATTAATTAATAAATAAAAAATTTAAAATTATTTATATAATTAAATTATATTTTAAATAAATACATATAAAAAATTATATAAAAAAAGATTATACTAATTCATCTTTTATCATAATGGATTGAAATCTATTTGGTTATAAATGATCACTAGAAACGGATAAATTATTCAATTTTACAATTTTTAGCGAGAATTACAAAAAATATTTTAGATATATAGCTAAAATTTTATTTAAAAATAAACTTTAATCATTATTGACAGAATAAAAATAAATTAATATGAATATAATAATATTGTATTTATTTTTCAAACAAAACACTACTTATGTTTAATTAAACATAATAATGTATGTATTGATCAAAATATACCAAACATTACTTTAGGTTCATTGTAAAATTTATAAATTCTGACAAGTTAAAACTATTAAATTTCATTTGTTGTTAACTGAAGACGAATATCATGCCACGATTACATTAAGTTTTCTTCTTCTTCTCTCGCAAGTTTTGAATTACCACTTCAATTATTTTTCTATGACACTGACTAATTATAGCAATGAAAAAATATTTAATAAATATCATATTAATTACAAGTTTTTGAATTAATATATGAAGCACACTGATTTATATAAACTGGAGTGAATAAAATAAAAGAAATAAACTTTCAAGGAGAATAATTAGACTTTCACATGAAAAGCACCCAGACTCCAACTTCATGTAAACCTACTTATGAAAAATGGTCATGGCCTTTTTTTTTCTTCATTATTTTTCAATATTACCCTAATTAATTTTATGAAATGAGTTTGGGGAAAGAAAATTAAGTGGACTGTTTATGACTCAATTTGACAATTTACTCATTCTTCAACTTTCAGAATGTTTATCTCTTTTTATTTTTATGACATATATTTTTTCAAAATTTACATATTTTACCCAATGCTGTAATCAATATATTTTAAAAAATGCATATAATATTACATAATCCTATTTACTTTAATAAAAAAATGATGCCTTTTAATATAATACTATCTACTTAATAAAGAATATAGTGTCGGATTCAACTGTAAATTTTTAAATTTTTAATAATTGCTAAATACTATTTTTTATGCAATAATTAATAATATCAAATAATTAGATTGTGTTTTTAAACCTTTTGCATTGAATGAAATAAAATGCGTAAACAACATTTCTTTGTGTTTTTTTTCCTCAAATATATAAGACCAGAAAACATTTTTTATAGTTCTTCATGTTTTCTTAAACATGTATGTGTTAAGTATGGTAAATGATAAAAAAAAATGGTTGAGAATAATAGGGTGAAGAAAATGTATAAACTAAATTATAGTAAAAATAAGTGGTTCCATAAAGTTATATCAAACTGTACAGTATTCAGACAAACTAAATTATATTATAACACGAGTGAATTGAGCCAAACACAATCATTTTTTTATTGATTGAACTACATAATTTGTTAAATTTATTATCAACAAACATATTATTTTTATATATATATATATATATATATATATATATATATATATATATATATATATATATATATATTACTGCACAACCAATAAAGTTATATTTAAGGGCAATTTAGATTTTTAGAAACTAAATTAGAAAAACAAATTAAAATTTGTTTAATTCAGTTTTTTTACCAGCTGTAAAAAAGAGATACTTTATTAAAAATGCCCAATTTATTTTCTTACGAAAACAAATAGTATATAGATTTTATTTTTCTCACTTACCCATGTTTTTTTTTTTACAATTTCTCATATTTATGTATGTTAATATAATGTAAAAAAATAATGAAGTAATTTTTGTGTAGTTATAAAAATAAATCCCAATAAATATTTGTTAAATTTTTCTTTTAATTATTTTTAAAATGTTTATATTGTTATAAATAAGAAATAATATATATATATATATATATATATATATATATATATATATATATATATACTTATTGGAGTATAAAATAGGGTGAAAACATATAAAAATACTGTATATCTAGTTAAATATAATTACATTTTAAAATCATTATTATTTTTTTTAATTTCCCATGGTTTGACTAATTCCTTTTAAAACAAAGTAATATTTTTTTATATTTAATTCACCACACTAATTTATTATTGTGTCGTGCATATAATGAATAAGTACTTGCTTAAAAAAAGTTAACAAATACTTTTAGTCATTTAGTTTTATTATATATTGTTTTGAACAAAATATACCATATCTTCTAATTATTTTTATCAAAATTTATAAATTCATTAATATTATGATATTATAATTTTAATTTTTTATAATGTGGAATTAAACTAAAATAAAAATATTAAGTATCAGTTAAAATTCATAGCTTAATCTAACATCACTTAATCGTACGAAATAAATAAATTTTTTATGGTATAATTTGATATAATTTTAAAATAAATTAAAAATTTATATTTTAAAAAATTTAATATATATATAATATTAATATATTTAATTCACGTCACTAATTTATTGTTTTGTCAATAAGTACTTCCTTTAAAAAAAATAACAAATATTTGTAGGCACTTTGTTTTATCATAGATTGTTTTCAACAAAATATATCATATCTTCTAATTATTTTTATAAGATTTTTAAAATTCATTAATACTCTGATATTATAATTTTATTTTTTTTATAATGTAAAATTAAACTAAAATAAAAATATTAAGTATTTATAATTATCAAAATTGAGAATTATCAAGTGAAAAATAAAAAGTTTAAAGATCAAATTTGATCTATATTTTAAAATAAATTAAAATTTTATAAAAAATAATTTAAAAAATATATATATATATATATCAATTAGTTATTATTTCAAAAAAAAAATATTTTTTAAATTTAAATTTTATTAATAAAATTATTTTTTATTCAGAATATAATAATTTAATATATAAATTATAAGGTAATTCATTAATTTAATTTAATTAAAAAAATAAAAATTTAATTATTATTAATATTTTTTATTTTTTAATAATTTATTAATTTAAATAATATTTAATCTTAATAAAGTTGAAATAAGAAATTTATATATTTATTAAGATATTTATTCAAATTTTTATCAAATTAATATATATATTAATAAAATAATAATATTATTTTTTATTTAAAAATAATTTTTATTTTATAAAACTCTTAGATCTATAAATTAATGGAGTATCAAAATCTAAACCTTTAATTAAGGAGTGTGTTTTTTTTCTAGTAAGAGAAAAAGAAGCTAAAAACCCTACTCTCATCCCCTCTCCTCTGCATCTCTCTGCAACTGTAAAGTGTAACTCTCATGGCGACGACTTCACATGGTCGAGCCGTGAAGTCTCTCAACAAGTCCTCTGGTCGCGGCCGTTTTGTCGTAAGCTTTCTCTCTCTTTACCACCTGCGTTTCTTTTGTGCGTATGTTTTTTGTTCTGCTAAACCCCTGTACCACACCATTGTTAGAATTTACTTTATTTTCGAATTAAATAAAACTTGCATCACTACGTTGCTGAAGGTTTTATTGAAATTTTTGTTCTCTGAATTCCTGCTGTTTCGTATTATTCCCGGCATTTTTTGTTTTCTAATTTTGAAAAATATTGAATGTACAGTTCAAGTCATTCTCTGAGAGAGTAGATGAGATTGATATCAATGTATATCGAAGTATCGAGAAGGTCAAAGCCGAGCCATCTGAGGGTTCTTCGTTTTTCAGGGACTGCCTTATAGAATGGAGGGTATGTTTTAATATACAGTTTTATCTGTTTTGCTTTCTTCGTCAAACATTTATTTTGTTTATTTGCATTGCGGAATCTGATCCTGCTGTTATGAGTAGCCAATGACTTTAAGCAAAGACAGATATTAACGAGTTGCGGGCCAACTGGAATTGATTTTTGTAGAATAAAAATTGTGTGAAGAAAAAAAGTTGCAGATTTTTGGTTACCCATGATTGTCTACTCCGTGTCCGTTAATCTTTGTTTGAATTATTTGCTTTAATTGAAAAAATACAGGAGTTGAACACGGCCGAGGATTTCATTTCATTGTATGAAGAAATTATGCCTTGTACACAAACATTGCCCCTGGTGCTGTTGCACAAGGAATCTTTAATCTCAAAGCTTCTTTCTAGGTTGCACATAAAAGCAAGACTATCCCTTGATGCAATTCTCAGGTATGTGTATACCAGTCTTTTTCAAGGATTACTTCATTTTTTTGTGATTTGGATTTGCAGTTTGTTATATGGTGAAATGACAATAATGAATAAATCATATGTTTTGAAAAACTTGGACATGGTAACTTCTAATGTTATCGGGGTAATTATTTTGCATTCATGGTAGGTAGTAACAACACTGTTGGTGGTGCATGCTGACTTTCATTGAGGACCAATTATTAGTTTGAGCATTATGTGCGCATTAATTGGTTGATTTGGTATTTTTTTGAGTGGTTGAATTCAGTTGTGATATTGTTGCTTTTATTAGTATTGGAATCTAGCCGTATACGTATGCTGTTCTAATTACTACATACTAGCGTAAATATAAAATAGTTATATTTTTGTTGTATTCTGATTTATATGTGTTCTAACTTATTAGAGTGGCACTGGTTATTGACTTGGTCGGTGCATCAGGTTAATGATGACTGATTGAGTCAGTATTTCATTGGTCAAACTGTATGAACCAATATGTACTGGAAATCTAAAAAAATTCATAACTTGTAAATTTCATACTCAACGATTCCACCCTGACATGTCTGACCAGTCAGTTCGCACCAGTTCTTTAACATCTCAACGACTTTTTTACAGGTTAATTGCTGCTTTATCTAGGGATCTCCTTGAGGAATTTGTTCCGTAAGTTGCTTTACATTTTGACTACATTCGGCTCTCTTGGCTTTTACCTTTGGTGTCAATTGCCAAATTTTGCATTGCACTTGCAAAATTATATTTTAATGAGAATTCTCTCATGGTTTTCTTATTCATTATGGACATGGGTTTTGCTAGGCTAATGCCAAGAATTGTTGATTCTTTAGTATATCTTCTTGAGAACGGTGGTGACAGGGAACCAGATATCATGGAGCAGGTATATTCTATGATTTTGGCAAATGTTATTATGGGCTATCTTGTTGCCCCTTTCTTTTTTGGTAGTTTCTGTTTGAAATTTTAAAATGTTTTGCAGGTATTCACGACATGGTCATACATCATGATGTATTTACAAAAATATCTAGTACGCAACCCATCAGAGGTGCTCAAGTGAGTGATTGAGTTATGCTATAGTAGTTTTTATTTTTTCTACATGAGTTTAACTATGCTGCAACCCTGAAATTCTCTGGAATGTGTAAGCTGACCTGCACCACTTTGTTAAATCCGAAGCATTAAATTAATCTGCATTAGATTGGATATGTACTATAACTAACCACGTATCTCTTTTGATCAGAGAGTTTTGAGAGTAATTTTCCCTTTCCTTGATTTGGCATTTTTATAATTTATTACTGTAATATTTAATTTTTAGTTTTCTAAATGAGCAATTATGTGATGAAGCAGAAAGCAATTAAAGCAACAATCCTAGAAACTGTAATTTATATAGACCAAAAGTGAGACTTCAATGTAAGCTTTTGTCTGACTAAAGTAGTGAAATCTTAATGTAGTCCAAAGAGATTTGGTGTGCAAACATGGAAGGGCCCCTAATTTAAGCTACTGATACAGCCAGCAGCCATAAAGAGGTAACAGAATCTGAAAATAGAATGTAAAACAAAATAGGTGGGGCCTAGTATTTATTATACTATGAAGCTGGCCTTCAAACAAAATGTGTGGGTATATTGACCATATAGGACTTGTAACTAGAAAAGTAAGATTAGCTAGTGTTGAAAGAAGCTTAAAGTACTGTTTCTGGCCTAGTGGTGTGTTTTGGCTCTTGACGAGGGAAGAGGGATTGTACAGCTTGAAAAGGAGCAGAAGCATTTCAAGCAGCTAAGGCATAGAACTTTCTGTTTAACCTCGGTACACTAAGCAATAGTTCCTCATGCACAAGCACAAACTTAATGGAATGACTGTTTGTGTCATTCCTTTATTTTTTTTGGGTCATATAACTTTAATAGACTCAATTATTCTTCATGCCCATTGGCTGGAAGTGTGTGCAAATGAGAAAGACAGCCATTTTACCAAAATCTTGAAATTATGACCACCTTGCTGCATTACTTCCATTGCTTGGATAGTTGGGTATCACCTTTTTATTTTTCAATTTGATGCACCTCAGGATACCTAATCTTATCTCTAAGGGTACTAGGTTAATATTGCTAGGGTCTAGGAATGGGAAAATGGATGTTCCATCAAGGATTGTTGAACCCTTTATTGGGAACTTAGAAAATATTATCCTTACAGAGTTAGCTAGGCTTGAAGGACAAATATTTTTTTTCTTGTTTATTTTAGCCTACAACAGCAACTGAATTAAAAATCTGATTTTTCTCGACTTTGATTCTTCAAGGGTCACGTCAAAACTGAGGTATTATCCTAAAGAATATGTCCAACAATTCATGGCAGAAGCAATGTCATTTGTTTTGAGGAATGCCTCAGACGAGCAGCTCGAAAGAGGTATTGATGCCATTGATTACTTTTTGTTGTGGCTATTTTGGTTTCCCCATTTTCTTTCTTGTCTTTTGTATTTTTAACCAGCTCCCCTGATTTTATTGGGCTTGTTAAATAAATTGTTTCTTGTTTAAACTCTCTTTTTGTAATTAAGCTTCTGTTGATTTGTTTGAGTGATTGCAAAACTCCTATGTTGTTTATGGGCCAGGAGTTAGAAGAGTAATTGATGATGCAGTGAAGAAGCCATCTCTGTGTAGAGAATCAGGTGTCAAGGCATTGCTTTTTAATATTATGAAAGGTTACACATCCAGGTTCCATTCAAAAGCAGAGAGAGTGTTACAATTGTTGACCACTGAAGCAATTTATCCTGTTGGTGATAAAGCTAACCAAGGTAAACTTGTTTTTATTTTAGAAACTCAAGCATTTTTAAATTTGTTATGGTAATCAGTAATTTATTGTTGCATGCATTTTTCTTTTCTAATTTTATATGTCCCCACCTAGTGGGATAAGTTTTTTGTTGTTATATCTTGTAGTAGGTTTCTCTAATCCTTAATAAAAATTGTGGGATTCTTGTGATAGGTTATTTTCTCATATATGGGACTGTTGTTTCCTTTACAGTGGCCTATTGATGTTTGCTATGTGTAGATATAAATCTGTGATTGATTTGTAATGCATCATACCACATTGTTTCTTATCTTTCCTGCCTCTTTTTCAGATTCAATGACCATTCTGAAAATTGTTAAATCTGTCTTCAAGAATCTGTGTGAGAAGATGGAGTCTAAGGAGTTGAATTTGGTATGGAATTGTTTATATAAGGAAACAGATGAATGTCTTAATACTGGAAATACCAGGCACTTAAGACATGTTTTATCAGTACTTGTGTCTGCTATAAAGATACAGAATGGGCAAAAGGTGTCTGGTAAGTTCAAATCCTATGTTACCACACTTTTCTTTTTGATCTGTTCAGCTAAGTTGATCCAGTTGACAATGACAGTAAGCTATGGTAGTTTTATGGTGAGCTGATTATAAACTTGTGTCAATAAATACATTAAATTTTAATTATTTAATTTTTGGGTGCTATTGGGAAGGAGCATGAGCCTAACCCCTTAGGTCATGGGTATGGTTAATCCCTTCCCACAAGGTAGGCTTATTGGATCTGAACTGAACCTTTTCCTTCTTTAAGACTAGTTTGCCTATTAGTGTCCAACTCCTTGGTTTATCATTAAAATTTTAACTCCTGGTTTTGTTACTATGTGGTTATATATGTATGACTTCTGTTTGTGTAGTTTTTACCCTAGTGTAGTTTCTTGACATAGGGATAGTGCACATTTTCTTTACATAGAAAGTTGTTTTTGTTGTTGATACACCTTTCATTGATTTTAATTGCCTTTACATTTGGCAGATTATAAGCCTGCGTTGAAACTAGCTGTGCGGCTTGTGCAGACATTTATTAAACCTTATGGAGTTATTGATTCACAAGAAGATATACATTTAGTTGTTGATATAATTTTGAAATTAATGTTGGCCATTCTCAAAGGACTCTGCAATTGCAATACCTCAATGATATCAGAGTGTGCTATCCAGTGGGCTCCAATTTTTAAATTAAGAAGCTCAAGGTAATGGCTTCAAAAGTGCAATTGTAATATTGGCATTCTCTTTAGCTTGTTTCTATATCTCTTGATATGTTTGAGCTTGGATTTCAGTCTGTTGTCTTTCATTAAAGAACTGCTACAGGAGGATCTTTGTTTACTTCATTTCAGAAGCAATATTATAAGGTAACCTCATATTCAGTGTGTTTGCATGATCAAATTGTTTTTAATACTCAACATATATAAATATTTGACTTCTATGACTTGATTTTAGTGCACTCAATGATTTGATGGAGATTTCAGAGGAAGAGATCATTCATTTGTTACAGTCTCTCTGCGAGAAAATGCAATTAGATATATGTAACTCAGACTTTGTCGATGGAACAAGTGAAGAAGCGCTGGCTAGAATATGCAGTCGTTTGCAAGATATAATCAGTTCTTGGAAGGGAAAAATAAATGCTAGTGCTCATGCTGATGCGTTATGTCAAATTGATGAAGGAAAGTTAGCACTTCTTTGGGGAGCTGTGAGCTGCTATTCTCATATGTCTATTGTTGGTGGCAATACGTCCTTGATGGTGGAGCTCATGGATGCTGTAGATCATCTTCTGACTGTTAAAGCTGGTATTCCTTCATTCCTTTCAAATATGATTTTCTGATGAGTAATTGTGTAAAAGCTCATGTCTAGGCTACATTAAATCTGGTATTCCTCTGTGTTTCGATTAGATTAAGTTTTATGTCATAATTTGAAGTGGTGTGGACCATATCAAGAAATAAACAATCTGTATTTGTTAATATTATAATTGTTTTTCTATTTTGCATATGTTATGCTGTTGAATTCAGCAGGTAATAAAAATAGAAAACATAATTTCTTATATAATATTCTTTCTTTCTTTGTCTGCAGGTTATATTGGAGATATGTCCAAAAAGGCCTTGGAATGTATTATAGGTTCTGCATTAAGTTCTTACAACCGATTGTACAAAAGAAGTTTCTGTGGAGCTGATGAAACTGGGAAGTTTTTAAGTCTTGCAAAACGATATAAGATGTCTTCATCATTGTTGTTGGCTGTTGCTGATTATTTGGAAGTCAAGCATGGGTAGGTGAACATGTGTTAAAGTTAATTGCTTTTAGACCTTTATTGTTTTCCATTCAAGTATAGACCAAATTGGGTCTTTAAATTAAATCATTGGTCAATTTAGTCCTTAAAATTGCAAAAATATCACTTAGTTCCTGAAATCACCAAATTGTCAGGGACTACAATGTATGGTGTTTGGTAATTTCAGCACCTAAAATGATTTTTTTGTAATATTAGGGACTAAATTGAATACTTAACATAATTTCAAGAAATAATTTGGCGTAATGCTATTTTCCATTTTTTAATAGTCCAATTTTGTCTTTTGGTTAATTCGTAATAGCTCTTGCATAACTCTCTCACTTTGATATCATAGTTCTTCATTAGAAGACAATAAGTGTAGAATTTATCATCCAGAACTTGAAGAAAAGACAGCAGAAGCTGTGGTAAGTTTGTCTGATAATTTGCATCACCCAGACAAGGATATTCGGATTTCAACTCTAAAAATTCTTTGCCACTATAAACCTCTGCTTTGGGAAAATTCTTCAGTGGATCAGCCAGCTAAGAAACAGAAAATTGAAGTTTCTCCAACTTGCAATGCTGAATGCAAAGAAAATAATGTATGTACCTAATAAATAATGTTGCATTTTTTTAACTTAAGCTTTGGTACGTTAGTGTTTATTTCTGTGAAATGACAGGCTCTGCTGTTGCTCCTTTCCATTGAAACAACTCCTATTTCAATTTCTACAAGTAGAAGCATTCAGCTGTTGATATCCAAGATACAGATGGAACTATCTGGGGGAAGGATTCCAAATGCTTACATGCCTCTGTTATTGAATGGATTGTTGGGCATCTTGAATAATCGATTTAGCCACATATGGAATCCTGTATTAGAATGTATTGCTGTCTTGATTAGCCTACATCTTTCACATGTATGGGATAGCCTTGTTCATTATATAGAAAGGTGTCAAGCAATATTTCTTACCCCAAGTAACATGCATGGGAGTTCCAATGGTGCATTGTTTGATCATCCAGCTGGTATGTTTGAACTTCATTGACACTGTACACAATGTTTCTCATTCTTCCCCCATTTATTTTTGTGGACATAATGTCCTATGGGTTTGACATCGATACTATATTATATGTAATTGGTAATTAGTTGGTGAATTTGAGTTGAGCTTAATATATTCTGTGAAATTATAATGTTAGCATTTAACCGACTTGGTTATGCCCTTGTAAAAGATTGGTATATGCTAAACTTTTATGGTTTTTTTATCCAAAAAAAAAATAAATTTGTAACCTCTAATGTTACTAATATAAATTAAAATAACAAAATTTTCATTATTCCTGTTTTGGGGTGGGTGTTATCGAAAGGTTACCTTTTAAGCTCTTTTTTGAGATTATGTGAATGATCTGCCATCATGCAGGCTATGTAATCAAGTTGATTTTGTTTGTTAGGTCTACTTGATTGTTTCAAAGTTTTTGTCTGTCATGCATCTGATAGCACACCGTCTGTAACAATATTGGAATTATTGCTGCAAGCTTTGCAAAAAATTCCAACTGTTATTGAATCTCGCTCCAGGCAATTCATTCCTTTATTTTTGAAGTTTTTGGGCTACAACACTCTTGATCTTGCAAGGTAAATATTTGCTCTATTTTATCCCCTTCATGGAACATGACATTTGAACCTCTTACCATAATTGACATATTTTTCCTTTGCAAATGATTTTGCAGTGTGGGATTGTTTGATTCTATTGCTTGTGAAGGCAAAGAATGGAAGTCCATCTTAAAAGAATGGTTAAACTTGTTGAAGCTGATGAAAAATCCCAAGTCATTTTACTGTAGCCAGTTTCTTAAGGATGTTCTGCAGAATAGGTTGATGTGCAATGGAATTATGGATCTTTTAGATTCTGCTATGTTTTTTCATCAGTACTTAGATAAACTTATCTAGATGATTTCCTATTTTAAACATAATTCTTTTTGTTGTTTCCTTTTTGTTTTTGTGCATTTGGCAGGCTTTTAGAAGAAAATGATCCTGAAATACAAATGAGAGTTTTGGATTGCCTGTTAATCTGGAAGGATGATTACATTTTACCATATATTGAGCATTTAAGAAACTTGATTAGTTCCAAAAATTTAAGGGAGGAACTGACAACATGGAGTTTGTCGAGAGAATCTGATATAATTGAAGAATGCCACCGGGCTTATCTTGTGCCATTAGTTATCCGGCTTTTGATGCCAAAAATAAGAAAGTTGAAAGGAGTTGCATCTCGGAAGGTAAACTCAATTGGAGTATCTTGAGGATTTTTTATATTTATGCCATCCTATTTCTTTGATTTCCCACTCTTTTTTTCATTTGCCTTATGGTTCATTATCTTATTTTCAGAAAGCAAGCATTTGTCACCGGAAAGCTATTCTGAGTTTCATAGCTGGACTTGATGTCATTGAGTTGCCTCTTTTCTTTGCACTACTAATAAAGCCCTTGCAATTAGTGAAGAATACTGATGGGCCTGCTAACATGTTTTGGACTTTACCTAGAGATTCCCTTGACGAATTTCAAGATGCTGCTTTGTTGGAATATTTTACTTTTGACAATATAGCAAACCTACCATGGAAAAAGAAATATGGTTTTTTGCATGTCATTGAAGACATTGTTGGGGTTTTTGATGAATTGCATATTAGGCCTTTTCTTGATCTACTAGCAGGATGTGTTGTCAGGTTGTTGGAGACCTGTACTTCAAGTCTTCATGCAAATTTGGTCAGGCTTCCTTCAGATCAGCACAATTGTAGCACTAACTCAAACTCTATAGTGGAGGACAGTGTGGCAACAGACCAAATCCAGGTAATATTATGTTCAGGCTGAATTCCACCTTTTTATGTGTAGTTAACTATCTAAATGAACTTGAGAATGAAAATGAATGTTTCTGTGTAGATGTTGATATAAATAATGATTGCACTGTTGACATGTTTGAATAATTTTTTTTTTACAGTACTATAGTCTATATATAATTTCTTCTTTTATCAATCTTTTGTGTATGTTTCAGTACCAGAGTCAGTGATGGTTGCTTTCTTATGTTGCTTGGTTTGATTGTTTGCTGCTTCTTTCTTGTTGTTTGATGGAAAGTAAAACATAGAGCTACTGGATGAAATCATAATCTTCCCTTATTATCTGCTTTATTCAATATTTTTTTTTATTTGTCTGTGCAGATCAGCGGTACTTCAAACCAGCTGAAGGACATGAGATCTCTATGCTTGAAAATTATTTCCCTTGTACTCAATAAATACGAAGATCATGAATTTTGTTCTGATTTGTGGGACAGATTCTTTTCTGCAGTAAAACCACTGATTGATAAATTCAAACAGGAGGCTGCTAGTAGTGAGAAACCAAGTTCACTGTTATCTTGCTTTTTGGCAATGAGTGCAAACAATAAACTTGTTGCACTATTATGCCGGAAAGAAAGTCTTGTACCTGATATATTTTCCATTGTCTCTGTCAATTCAGCTTCTGAAGCTGTTACATATTGTGTTCTAAAGTTTGTTGAAAACTTGTTGAGCCTTGACAATCAGTTTAACAGTGAAGACAATTCTGTTCAACGTATTTTACTTTCAAATATGGAAGTATTGATAGACAGCATGTCCTGTTTATTTGGAAGAGATAATGCAATCAAGAGGTATCTTAGTTCTATTTGCTTTATCTCTCACTACTATTTGTTACAAAAGTAATTGTTTTTACCTTGTAAGTGTGCTTTGTTGCTTCTAACTCAATACTCAGCTTCTGGACTGGGTTTTATAATTGTATTTGACTCTTCCATGAGATAACTTAACCACTTAACAATGATAAAATACAGTGGTTCTCTGCAAATTATAATTGTAGTTTAGTTGATAAGGGGGACAGGACAGTGATGAATGGGAGCCACAAAGGGCAGGAGGCATAATAACAAATTGTCACATATGACTAAGTATCTAAGATCAACATAAATAGAGCTTTTGTACGATCAGTGTTCCCATCTACACCAATGTTGAAAGTGTAGATCTAAAGGGAACTGATAACAGGTTATTAGTCTGTTTAGCAGTTGTTTTTAGGTTCAAGGCTTGTTGTTATTCTAGGTGCCAGAGAGCTTTACCTGTATGTGCATTATGTAAGATTTAATACCAACCGTGTGCTTCTTCCAACAATGTAAGCTATTGGACAATTGATCCTTGACATATATTAGTGTCTCTGACCAGATGGTTAGGATTTCCTTGTTGCTTCCATTCTTCTATATATAATTTGATTTCATGCACAAAGTAGTGGGCTTGTGCTTTGTCCATGCTTCTAAATAATCCTTAAACAATAGGATTAGGATTCGAAGTAGAATAGGTACCATTGCATAATGCATTTGGCAGTTTATAGTGCACGAGGCAGAGCACCAGAGTGAGTGAACTCAATCAGATTATTTGATAAATAACAAGATTATGTATTAGGAAATATGTGACACAATAATTTTACCCTACAAAAGAAAACTTGCTTTTTATGGTTAAGAACTGATGTAGGAGAAGGAGGACTTGAAACACTAAATGTTTTGCTCTTTCTTTTTCTTGGACAGAAAGCTGATAAAAAATCCCGGGGAGTCGCTCATAAGAATTTTAAAATTTTTACCCAAGTACATCAGGGAGGCTGAGTTGGCAAAACAATTTGTGGACATATTACTTCTCTTTATGGAAAAGAAAACTCAAAATTCTGGTGAGAGAATATTTTATATCCACACTTGCTCTGTTTTTATCCATTGCATTTTTTACAACTTAATTTCTGCATTCAAATTGAAACTCTCTATATGTTTATATTGTAGATGTTTGGGTTGAAGCTTTGGAAGTCATTCAAAATATTTTACCAACACTAGGATATGGAAGTACCAATAAAATTCTGAGTGCTGTTTCATCATTATATATTTCGGCTGAGCTGGATATGCGGTTGAGAATATGTGATCTTCTTGATGCTCTTGTAGCTTCTGATGCATCTATACTCTCAGTGGTAATTCTTGTTGTTTTTGTCCCATGGATCCATGCTTGTTACTTTAGACAAATCATACCATGTTCTGTCTTTCATTAATTTTTCGGTTATTTTATTGGGATGCAGGCAAAAGTTCTCCGTCAGCTGAATACAACGTCTACTTTGGGTTGGCTTGACCATGATGCTATCTTAGATGCTTACAAAATCATTAATATTGATTTCTTTAGAAATGTTCAAGTGGAGCAAGCATTACTTATTTTATCACATTGTGTGCATGACATGTCATCAGAAGAAACAACTTTTATGTGTAGTGCGCTTAGTTCATTGCTGTCTTTTGTTGATTTCTCTGCTCTCATCCTTCACCAAGAAGGAAACAGTGACGAACACATGTCAGTGATGGAAAACATTGACAGTTGTTGGACAAAATCTTGCATCCAGCGTGTAGCGAAGAAATTTCTCTTGAAGCATATGGCAGATGCGATGGGTGGATCACTTTCATTTATGAAGGTATTTGTTAAACTTAAGCCATAATCCTTTTTAAGTTAGTTACTGCATCAGAGTTATATGAAGTTCAGGCATACACGAGCATATAGTTGTACTTTACTTCTGTGTTTTATTTTTTTGGCACTAGTCTGTCTCACATATAACTAGCAATTTGTTGCCATTCCTATTTTTTACCATGGCGTCATAAATCCTTTTTAAGTGTTAGTTACTGTATCATAATTTTATCAAGTTCAGGACTATATGTGCATATAGTTTTTAATATGACAAGGATAATGGAAACAGTAAACTTTTAGATGCGACATTAATTACAATCTGAAAATGTAAACCTAAATTTTATATGAATAGTCATATATTCCTTTATTTCATACACTGGCTTATGTTGTTGCAGGGATGGATAAATTTGTTACATCAAATGGTGTTGAGGCTTCCAGAAGTGTCAAACCTCAAATCACTTATGGTCTTGTGCAACGAGGATGGTGAAGTAAATTTTTTTGACAATATAAGTGACCCAGTGGTAAGTAAATTTCTATGGGTATATATGTTTACTATCATTATTTTCTAATGAAACAACTTTCTTCTGTCTTTGCTAATTGTAATCAGAAACACTATCAGCTTTAATTCTGATTAGAGTTGAGTTTTGCTCTGAGCACTGTGTTCTGTTAGTACGATAGTTGTAATCTGTAACTGACACATTTAGTTAGACAGTATGCTTGTCTGTTTGTTCCCTTCTGTACAGCTATTGAATTTAACAGCTATAGAGTTAGACAGTGTGCTAGTCTGTTTGTTCCTTTCTTGTTATTCATTTTTTAGTTAATTAATATTACTGTGGTTATTTAAATGCTTCCCGAATGGCTCATGTAAGTACATTTGATGTTGCAGATACGTAAGAGAGTTAAGGCACTGTCATGTTTTCGAAATGTTGTCAGTATGAACAAGCTTTCAGAGGTATTAACTTTATACTTTCACATAAAAGTATTTTTCCTAGATATAGTAATTTAATTATTTTATTGTTTACTTCCAGTTCATCACTGAGAAAGTATTCATGCGACTCTTCTTCAACATGTTGTTTGATGAGAAAGAAGAAAAGGCAGAACATATGAAAAATGCATGCATAGAGACCATTGCTTCTGTAGCTGGTCAGATGGGATGGAAGTCATATTATACATTATTGATCAGATGTTTTCGAGGTGCATCCAGTAGTCCAGACAAACAGAAAGTCTTCATACGCCTTATTTGCTGTATTTTGGATAAATATCACTTTTCTGAACATCCTTATAATAAAGACACCAAGGAATCTGTGGATGTGATTTCTGACATGGAGATGGCTGATACTGATGTGAACAAAGAGATACAGACAAGCCTGTTTAAAATTGTGCTTCCAAAGATACAGAAGTTTCTGGATTCTGAATCTGAAAAAGTCAATGTAAATATCAGTCTTGCTGCACTGAAGCTACTCAAATTACTTCCTGGAGATGTGATGGATATGTATCTTCCAACAATTGTTCATCGAATATCAAACTTCCTGAAGAGCCATCTCGAAAGCATTCGAGATGAAGCTAGGTCTGCATTGGCCACTTGTTTGAAAGAACTTGGACTGGAATACTTGCAATTCATTGTCAATGTTTTGAAATCTACCTTGAAGCGAGGATATGAACTTCATGTCCTAGGATACACACTTAATTTTATTTTGTCCAAGTGTCTTTTAACTCCGGTTGTTGGAAAGATAGATTACTGTTTGGAGGATCTGCTTTCTGTGATAGAGAATGACATTCTTGGAGATGTTGCCGAGCAAAAGGAGGTGGAAAAGATAGCTTCAAAAATGAAAGAAACAAGGAAGAAAAAGTCATTTGAAAGCTTGAAATTGGTGGCTCAAAGTATAACATTCAAAAGCTATGCCCTGAAGCTCCTTGCTCCAGTGACTGCTCATTTGCAGAAGCACATCAGACCAAATGTAAAAGGAAAATTGGAGAATATGTTGCATCATATAGCTACTGGTATTGAAAGTAATCCCTCTGTAGACCAGACTGATTTATTTATCTTCATTTATGGCATTGTTGAAGATGGATTAAAAGACGAAATTGGTTGGCATGAAAATAAATTTTTGAAATTGGAAGATAAAGATAGCCGTGTTAAAACAAAAAGAATTTCGAAAGGCCATGTAGTTGCTAAGGGCTTGATGTGTTCACACCTTATTACAGTGTTTGGTCTCAGAATATTTCATAAACGAATGAAGAATATGAAACAGGATGTAAAAGATGAAAATACTTTATCATTATTAGACCCGTTTGTCAAGCTCTTATGTGATGGCTTGTCCTCTAAGTATGAAGATATATTGTCTACTTCCCTTGGATGCCTTGCTATACTGGTGAAGTTACCTTTACCATCCCTTCAACAACATGCTGAGAGAGTAAAGGCTTCTCTGTTGGATATTGCCCAGGGTTTGGTGAGCTCTAGCAGTCCGTTAATGCAGTCATGTTTGACTTTGCTGACTGTGCTTTTAAGGAACACTAAAATTTCTCTGACCTCAGATCAAATAAATTTATTAATTCATCTTCCCATATTTCTCGAAGTTGATAAAAATCCATCTTTGGTGGCCTTATCACTTCTAAAGGGTATTGTCAGCCGCAAGCTTGTGGTACCTGAAATATATGATCTGGTTACTAGGGTTGCTGAATTGATGGTGACAAGTCAAATGGACGCAATCCGCAAAAAATGCAGTAAAATTCTTTTGCAATTTCTGCTTGATTATAGACTTTCAGAGAAACGCTTGCAACAACATCTGGATTTCCTGCTCTCAAATTTGAGGCATGTGTTTCAGCTAGTAGTTGTGGTTATTAATACTATATTTTCCTTTTCTTTTAAATATTGATTTTAATCTTTGTGCATTTTTTAATCCTTTACAGGTATGAGCATTCAACTGGACGAGAATCCGTTCTTGAAATGATTCATGCTATTATTGTCAAATTTCCAAGAAGTGTTTTGGATGAACAATCTCATATATTATTTGTCCATTTGGTAGCTTGCCTTGCCAATGATGACGATAATATTGTTCGTTCTATGAGTGGGGCTGCAATAAAGAAGCTTGTTAGTTCTGTTAGTCCTAATTCACTTAAATCTATTCTTGACTATGCTCTTTCCTGGTATTTGGGCGGCAAGCAACAACTATGGGGTGCAGCTGCTCAGGTAATGTTCTCTTATGTAGTGACCCTTGTAGTTAAATTTTTGTTTTATTTTTGGTCCTAGGGTTTTATGGTATTTTTCCTTCTCTAGATGTGGTGTGTGCGATTGCCAAAGCAGTTTTATTTCAGCAGTATTAGCAAATGGGAAAAAGGAATGGTGACATGTAAAAATTGAATAAATATTTTATCATAAGAAATAAATAACCATCAATAGTTAATAAACTAATTAATAACGGGTTACATTTTAATTGTAAGAAACAAATAACTACCCATGATTTTTGGGAAATCAACAGGTGATGGTTTGGGTTTGGAATAAGCCAGGCCAGACTAGGTTTTGCGTAAATAGGCCTAGCCTCTTATGAAAAATTAAGGTCAGGCCTGACCATAGAGCAACTGAAGACAATATTGTTGTAGCATAGATGTGGATAGGAAGAACTGTTCGAAATAAAAGCATTTATTTATGATTAAACACTCTAAATAACAGTATAGGTGCCATGTTGGCATAAAATGTTTATTTCTTTATTATCATATCTTTCATGGAAAGAAATGGCTTTTAACACAGATCAGACACGTAGCAGTTACCAAAATATTCTAATTGACAATGGCTGCTAAGCATTACATTAATGACTTCTGTTTACTAGTAGAACCACACCTAATGCACTTTATTGAAGACAGAGCTCTGTAGTATATGAATAGTCATCATTGTGTTAATTTTTGTTCAGAACTACTGTTAAATGAAATACTTCATCTTAGGATTTATATATGGCTTTGGTTATCAGTATGGTTGTCACTGGAATCTTTCTCCATAAGGTAAGAAACTGGAAGAAATCCTTGATTTAGCAATCACCAGAGGAGTCAAGAACCAACTTATTCTGTTTTTTTTTGTTAGACATCAATCTTGAAAATTATTCTAGTGTAAACATTTTTAATTTTCCTATCTGTATCATTTATATTGACCTCTGAAATTGCTGACACAGGTTCTGGGGCTGCTGATTGAAGTAAAAAAGAAAGGATTTCATGAACATATATATTGTATCTTGCCTGTGACTAAACACATCTTGAAGTCTGCCATAGATGCAGTTACCAACAGGCAAGATGGCTTTTCAGCTGAATCTGTCATTCCCCTTTGGAAAGAGGCTTACTATTCTCTTGTTATGTTAGAGAAGATGATTAATCAGTTCGGTGATTTATGCTTTGCTGAATATCTTGAGGTAAATCTGTGTTTATTAGATATATTTTGGATTTGGATATTGACAGACATGTATAAATTTGCTGTTTATGACAAGTTAGTCTATGAAATTTTTTTAGATGCTTGTGATGCAATGTGATAGATAGGAGTGGCCTGACTGAAATTACTAGAGTAGGATTTGAGGGCTTTAGGCACTGGCTAGGAAAGGCATGAAAAGGTGCAATAAGCTTAGTACGGAAGTTGAATACTTACATGTGGGCTTCCTATTACTAATTGATAAATGCTAGTAACACACTCATTTGAACACTATACTTTTGATAGAATTTCTGGATGGGAGCTCAATAATAGTTTTATGATGATCTAGCAATTAGGATATTCGTTAACTTGAAAATGTAATATCCAAATGGTTCTGCTGTGGTTCATAGCTCTATATTATAGGGTTTATGCAGTTTTTTTTTTTTTTCACCTTTTTCCAAGCAATAAGGTGGGAATAGTCATAACTCTACCATTTAACTTCACACTCTAGTTTACCACATGTGATTGCAAGCACACTAACGTGTAATATATTGTGCAGACATTTCAGGATATATGGGAAGCAATATGTGAGATGCTGTTGCACCCACATTCCTGGATACGGAACAGATCAGTTCGCCTCATAGCGCTATACTTTGCACATGCAACAGATGCTAGCAGAGAAAATCATGGAAGCTCCTTAAGTTATTTTATTATGAGTCCAAGTAGACTGTTTTTAATAGCTACTTCTCTTTGCTGTCAACTAAAAATGCCACTCATAAATGATGCTGACAGCAGCCTGATGACCCAGAATATTATCTTTGCTATCTGTGGTGTCCATTCTTTGATGGGGCAAAGTGCATGTGTAGATCCCCCTGCATTCTGGTCCACTCTTCAGCAACAAGAAAAGGATCAGTTTCTTAAAGCTTTTAACTTACTTGATTCAAGAAAAGGAAGAAGCATGTTCGTGTCCTCATCTATTGCTTCTATATCTGAAAACAACAATCAGCTGAATGTTGACAATGCTCAACATGCGTTAGTCTCACTATTGCTCAGGAAAATGGGGAAAATTGCCGTTCAAATGGATGATATTCAGGTTGTACTCATGCTCTTTGCATAGTCTTTTGTTCAATGTGCCTGTGATTAATATTATATTCTATTTTGCTTGCTTGCTGAACGCAGATGGGAATAGTCTTCAACAGTTTTGGTAATATTATTGCACAGATTAGTCAGGATGACTGCCTACACTATGCACACGTGATCCTGTTACCTCTATACAAAGTTTGCGAAGGATTTGCTGGAAAAGTCGTATCTGGTTAGTTTTTCCATCTAGGAAAAGTATAAATCAGCCTAAATTTGCCTGTTTCCTCTAATATTTCCCTAATTTTCTATATAGTAGATAGTAGATGAATTCCACCTTTGTGATAAGTAGCCAGCCATCTTGCTGAAGTGTTGTGTAGAATTGGTTTTGTAAATTTCTAATACGGTTATGTTGTCCTGTCTGGATCAGAATCCTTTTACATTACCAATTTAGGAATGTCATGTTATTATGGGACAGAAAGGTACCATAACAAAATCAATTTATAGCCTACATAAATTAATGTGGGTCCTGTTATCAACACTAGAGGGAGATTCTGATCCAATCATATCTTGTTCCAGGCCTTTTTACCTTCTATATTCCCTTTTTCTCTTTTTCATTCCATAAGTATTTTGGTGATGGGGTGAGGGTGCCTAATGTTCTAATAATTTGTTAATGGTTACTATTATACCTTATCCCAATTTTACCAAGCCCTCCCTTTGTTTATCACTTCCGTTCTCCCCTTTGTTTATGCTTTCTGACATTTAGCATGTTTATTATAACCAGATAATATCAAAAGGTTGGCAGAAGACACCTGTAGAAAACTAGAGAATATTTTGGAAACTCACAACTTTGTGCAAGTTTACAACCTTATCAGGAAGGACCTTAAGTTAAAAAGAAATAAGAGGAGACACGAAGAAAAGCTCATGGCTGTTATCAATCCGATGCGAAATGCCAAACGGAAGTTGAGAATTTCTGCCAAGAATCATGCTAACAAAAAGAGGAAGATTACGACAATAAAAATGAGGAGATGGATGCATTGATTGAAAGGTTCATACATGTGAGATTTCATCTCCTTTACGCATTGATTTTAATGGATAGATAAGTTTAGAATTTTCTTCTTAAGGCCTTAGGAAATTTTTACGATAGGTTTTATGTGGTATCAAACTTGTATTATTAAGAAAAAAAGATTCACTGTTATAGAATATATGATTAGGCTTGTCCAAAATTTTGTTGTACAGAGTCAAGGATGAAAAGAATACAGCATTAGTGGAGAATATTCATTTGGACTCTTTGTTCGTTTCTACCTTCTACTGCGTTCTGCCTGGGTGTCTTTTTTATTATAATGAACAGTTTCGTTAAAAAATTATTAGCTTTTGAATATTATAACGTTGAATTCGTTGTCTGGCTATCATGTTATAATGGTTGGATAAGAATAAAATAAAATGAGTAACATGTATATTAATCTTATTTAATGGTTGGTGTGGATCATAACTAGTGGAGAATAATATGTCGCCATGATGGAAGTAATATTGATAGTGATAGTAACTTTGAGTGTGATGATAGTAATGATAATAACAGTGATAATAAAAAGATAATGTTGGTAATAATGATTATGGTCATAATGTGATTAATAATGGTGATGGTTGTTACATATAATAATTGTGCTAACAATATAGATAATAACATAACGATAACTCAAGTGAAAAATGTTAATGTCATAGTAATGTTGGAATAGTTCTAATAATAACAAAATGACAATAATAATAAATTTTTGATTGTTAAAAATAATAAGAGGGTGAAATAAATATATAATTTATTTAATATCATAATTGGGGTGGTGGCGCAGTTGGCTAGCGCGTAGGTCTCATAGCTTCTGAGTTATCCTGAGGTCGAGAGTTCGAGCCTCTCTCACCCCAGCTAAATAATTTTTTTTATGAATTGAATATAACTTTTAAAGAAAAGTAATGATTTATCACTAATTAAGTCATTGAAAGTAATTAAAATTAGATATGAGATTAACCATAGCGTAAACACCACCACATCTATATTCACCGTGAACCCATGCCTCAACAATCAGGTGCTATACGTATCTACAATGCTAGTGCTAAAACAGCAATTGCCAATAGCATAAATTGTGGCAAACAAAATATGTTAATACCAAGTGTTTTTGGGTTTTATAAATAAAGTCAAATAGAATACGTATTTTCAATTGTCTAAAAGCAACATTTAAGAAAACAAAGATGGCATTGCACCTTCAACCTATTTCCCCTAAAAAACAACAAAATTGCAAAAGGCATAGAAGTTCCAAAGAAAAAGAGAGATATCTATTTCTTCAGCTCTTCGTATCTGCCTGTCTATAGTGACTATTAACCTACATCTACCAACATATGCTCACCCATACCACAGTTATAAATGAATAGCTGCCCTGAGTTGTGAGTCTCAAGGTCAAGAATGAAGCATCCATAAATAGAAATGAACTAGGAATACATAGGCAAATTGGTTCCTCGACAAGTTATCTCCTACCACTGGTGGTAGCAGTCTTGCCTTTGCTTAAATCAGCAAGTTCCTCAATAAGTTTTCTCTCATCTTTGCTCAGTTTTTTGGGGATTTCAACTTGCACCCTAACCAATTGATCACCCCTCAGATTCTTTTTATTCAGCAGGGGAACACCTTTCTTGGCCATAACAAGTGTTGAGCTTGGTTGAGTCCCAGCTGGGATTTTTAAATCTACCATGCCGTCTACAGTAGGAACCTTAACTGTAGTCCCCAAGATTGCCTCAATATAAGATATCTTACATGTGTATAAAATGTTTGTGTCATCCCGTTTAAGCACTGGATCTGGGATAACTTCAAGAACAACAAAAAGGTCACCAGGAGGACCCCCACGCCTTCCAGCATTACCTTCATTTCGGACCCTTAACCGGCTGCCAGAATCAACACCAGCAGGAACCTTGATACTTATCCTCTTTGTCTTTCTCACTCGACCTTCCCCGGAACATGTACTGCAAGGTGTTGAAATTTCTCCAGTTCCGTTGCAAGAAGAGCAAGTCATAGACTGCTGAAAAATGCCTAATGGAGTCCTTGTAGATTGGACAACCCGGCCCTGACCACCACAAGTGCTACACTTGGATGATTTGGTTCCTGGTTTAGCCCCCGAACCATTGCAAGTTCCACAGCTCTCTAATCGCCGAATCTCAATCTCCTTTTCGACCCCAAAAACAGCTTCTTTGAAGTTCAAAACAAGACTGTAATACTCATCTTCACCCTCAACTGCTCCATTCCAAGAACCTCTGCTGCCCCCCATACCACCCATGCCCTCAAACAGTGTCTCAAATAGGTCAAAAGGATTGCTGAAATCCTGAAATTACAATGATGGTCCTTTGAGAAAATAGGAATATACGAGAACAAATTCAAATTCCTAATTGTCTTAGAGGTAACTTACCCCCATGCCCATTCCTGAACCTTTAAGGCCAGCCTCTCCATATGTGTCATATATGGATCTTTTCTCATCATCTGACAAGACCTGCAAAAGAATTTGAATTACAGAACATCAATTATAAGTAGACATGCATAAGAGACAGTTGTGTTCAACAAGCTGTAGTTTTACCTCATATGCATTACTAATTTCTTTGAATTTCTTTTCTGCATCAGGTTCTCTGCAGCATACGGGAAACATGCATAATAGTTCAAGCAACATTAATTAAATGATAATGAAGACAAGAGAAGACTATACACCTACTAAAATTGACTTGTGATGTGAATATGTTCTCGGCAAAAAAAATTATCGAATAGGAAGTTCAGGAAATATACCAAAAAAAAAACAATTAAAAGGACAAGCCATGGGCTTTACAATCAGACATCCAAACCACATTGTCCGTATCAACAGTGAAATAGAAGCATTTAAAATTTTAAAAGAAAAATAAAGAGTGGGGAATAAGGCCAGCGAAGAGTATCAGAAAGTCAATGATGTTGAATATGAAAGTAGTAAAAAGAACTCACTTGTTCACATCAGGATGATAACTCCTCGCAAGCTTCCGATAAGCTGAAATGTCCAGAGTAGAGAGAATTATGATATTGTAATATTATAAACATTACAAAGAAATGAAAAGAAAAAGATGTATAATCAGAATGTTATGTTTTGGGTGGCAATTTAACAAGAGGATCTTATACCAGAGTTGCAGTTGACATTCATTCTATTAGGACAAAAGTTTCATCCCACCATCAACACCTTAGAGCAATAAAAGGCATAAAAAAGCAACCAATTTTAAAATTTTCAAAATCAGGGTTTGGAAAGCTTAGCCGTTTTTTTTGGGGTAAAAAGCACAATACGCAGACAACCACAACAAAATAAGGTCTAATGTCTTAGCAACAAGCATAAGCTCATTTTATATAATATTACCACTCAATTCCCATTTTAATAGGAATGATTAGTTGTTAGAGTTTGCTATTTATAGTTATGCCATTCTGGACAGAAGTATCAGGATCATGAGAAGATCTAGTATAAGCAAAGGAATTGTGTTTGAATTCTGTCAGAGTTGCATACTGAGGGATTAACACGTATAGTCCATCATGATGATATATAAAAACGCGACTATTCAATTTAGAAGATGGTATCACAGCTCCGAAAGGAGCTCTGGCTGCCAATGGTTTTTACATTTTCTAAGACATCTTTTTTTTTGTTTCATTCATATTCTTTTCTGAAATTGTGAATGATGGCAAACTAGAGCTCCTATGCTGACTATTTGACCAACCCCTCTAATCCTTTTTTTTTTTTCCACACCAATGAAATCCCTTCTCAAGCACTAGTTTCCCCTCCTTTAAATGGTCAAAATTATCATGCGTGGGCAAGAGGCTGGCTCTACTAGCCAATAATAAGTTGAAGCTAGTAGATGGAAGCCTTATCCCTCCCTTACGGACCCATTGTATGGAGTATGGGAAAGGTGCAACACTTTGGTATTGGCCTGGATACACAGATCAATAGATGACTCCATTCTGCAATCTATTTTACGGATTGATCAAGTTTTAGACGCATGGAATGATCTACGGGACAGGTTCTCACAGGGTGACATCTTTCACATCTCAGATCTCCAAGAAGAGATCTATCACATGCACCAAGGGACTTTGTCTGTAAGTCAATATTTCACCCAATTAAAAAGTTTGTGGGATGAACTTGAAAATTTCAGAACAGTTGTCAACTGTAAATGCTCCATTTCTTGTACTTGTGGAGCCATTCAAGCGTTCAAAATACATAGGGATCAGGATTATGTAATCCGTTTTCTTAAAGGTCTAAATGATCAATTCACCCATGTCAAATCTCAAATCATGCTCATCGATCCTCTACCCCCCCCATCAATAAGGTGTTCTCGCTAGTTATTCAATAGGAAAGGCACATAAACTAGACAGTAATCGCAGATACTAATGTTGATTATAAGGCCTTTGCTGCTAATACTAATCCCATTCCAACTGTTGGTAATGCTAGGAGAGGTGCTTTTAGAAGGGGGAGAGGACGAGGCGGTGCAGGAAGAGGACAAAATGTTGGCAATATATTGTGCACTCACTGTGGCAGAAGCAATCACACCATCGACACATGCTATTTCAAACACGGGTTCCCACCAGGCTACAAGCCAAGGGCCATTCCATCGACACATGCTATTTCAGGCTCAACTCCCTAAACACCTTTGGTGCTATGCTGTAACACATTCCATTCATCTGATTAATAGACACTACCAACTCCTTTGCTAAGGCAGAAATGCCCCTATGAAGTACTTTACGGGAAGACTCCCACTCTTCATCATTTAAGGGTCTTTGGATGTTTAGCATATGCTAGTACACTGCAGGCCAATAGAAATAAGCTATCATCTAGAGCTCATAAAACTGTTTTTATTGGTCATAAAGATGGAACAAAGGGTTATGTTCTATAGGATCTTCAATCAAGAAATATTTTTACTTCTAGGAATGTAGTGTTTTTTGAACAAACTTTTCCCTTTAGTGCCAATGAACATGAAAAATCACCACTTGATCTGTCAATGCTGCCATAGCCCTACTACAAAACTGTGCATCTTCCAACTGACTTACACATTCATACACCTCGTAGTCCTGTCCAAGAGCCTACACCAGCCAACATTGACTCATTGAATCCTGAACCCATTCCACAAATTTCTTCACTTAATATACCTAATAACCAAGAGATTTCAGTACCTGTAAGGCGTTCTACTAGACAAAGGCAGCAGCCCCAGATTCTGAGGATTATCACTGTAGTCTATCTGCTGACAGCTACACCAACCTCTCCTACGGTAAATCTTTACCCTCTACTTCAGTTTTATATCCTTTGTCATCTTATATCTCTTATGACAGGAGTTCCCCATCTTATAAAACCTTCTACTACAACCCTCTCAGTTAGACTGCTGGAAGAATGCCATGACTATTGAGATTAAGACTCTTGAGGAAAATAACACTTGGGTTCTTGTTGATCTCCCTCCTGATAAGGTTCCTATTGGGTACAAGTGGGTGTATAAGATAAAATATCATGCTGACGGAACCATTAAGAGATACAAGGCACGACTTGTGACCAAGGGTTACACTCAACTAGAAGGAGTAGATTTATTTGATACACGTGACTCATCCAATTAATATAATTATAGACATATGATAGCCGAAGTCATCAAGCATACCTTATTGCAAGTCTCAATGGAAAAAAAGAAAAAAGAAAAATAACAAACTCTGACAACTAATCATTCCTATTAAAATGGGAATTGAGTGGTAATATATAAATCACAAATTAATCCTACAAAAGTGAGTTATGTAATAACTCTAGCTCCCAACCTAAGTATGGTAGATTTCTTTGAGAGTTTTAGGTAACCTTTAGGATGGTTTTCAGTTTCAAAACATTTGAAAACTAGAACCAGTTTTCAGTTTTACAAACCATGTTTAGCCAAATAGAAAAATAATAGGAAACATAAGCCACAAATAACGGAATTAGTAGCCCTACTCTTCAATCATCTTCAGAACCAGTTTGAACTCAAACCTCTTATCAGTGACACCATCACATTACCCTCTCAAGTCAGTGTAAGAAATCATTGTCAAACATGCAAAACATCAGCTGAACGCAGAGGAATGACAAATTAAATGGATGACGTAATTACAATTCTGAATGACCTATAGCCTCTGGATATCTAATGATTGACAAATTAATCGATCCTAAAATATTTTTCTCCATACTGTGTACATGTAAACAGCAGAGAAAGTGAGGTTGATAGAGATATGGTACCGAGGAAGTATATACACTGGCAGATATTATTGGTAGAGAGGGAGAGAGTCAAGCAATGATAGTTGTGGAGGAGGGTAGAAGATTGTTACGGTACTGTTATACTCTTTGCATTCAAGGCCATGGTAAACCCTTTACAACTAAGACTAAAAATTAATTGGCTTCCCGCAATTGAAGGAACAGAATATATAATAGAAAAAATGGAATAGTCATGAATGGCAGTTACAACTAAATCCATCAAGTGACAGCTCATACTTTCCATGTGAGCTAAATAAAGTCCTTCAAGCGATCAGGCCTCGTACTAATCCATTCGAGCCTTGTGTCATGGGCTGTATAGTCTCATGGTAACTCCGCCTATCAAAGATGCTTTTTAAAACTAAGATCGAATCGCAAATCCTATGTTCTAAAATTGATGTAAAAGTGTTTTGAAAGAGTGTTTTAACTCCATTTTAGTTAAACATGTTTTGTTTTGAAATTTACATTTATTAATCAACACTCAACCACCACAAACTGCCCTTAAGTTTAGATTTCATTTCAGTACAAATTTTGTATGCTTAACAAGTATTTCAGGCAATCCGATTTGCCTATGCGGCAATATTTATTAGTTAATGTACTGATCCCATTGGGGTAATTGATGTTCCTTTACATTGCTACACCAAAAATTCACGGTTAATAAAGTAAATCAAAACAATATCTTTGAATATCAATTAATGACAGTAGAGTCATAAATCAGTTTGATAAGTAAAGGACTGCAGAAAAAAATACCACTCTTGATTTCAGATTTACTAGCATTTTTTGAGACCCCAAGGACAGAATAGTAATCCTGCACATTGGCACACAATAGATAGTGAGCCAATATATTGAATGTTGATGAGAGCTTCATAATTTATGGAGACATGCTTTCGTAAGGTACAATTGTATAAAAAAAGTCGAGGAAATCATAGTTGTTTAGAAATGCATGAGAACTACAAACTTACTGCATCTGCTCTAACTATCAACCTCGATCCCCTGCGACCATGCAAGTTTTGCGATGAACCTTTATCAAAAAGTGCACGCGAGGAATCTCGAGAAAAGAAGCTTGAACTTGGGGCAGCCATAAAGCTTATCCTGTTTGAAACACTGCAAGGAAATTGACTTAATTTAATTACACTTTCCAGCAGAATGAACTATTATTAAAATACTGCGTGTACCCATTGGGTAAGCCATTTCCAAAAATTATTTAGTGATGGGTACAACAGAAAAATGGTATTTCCCTCCCCCCCCCCCCACAAAGGTTTGAGACTGAGTCTATAGCCAAATCCAAACAATAAAACTACTACGACTGACAATTGCGGTTAAAAATAACAATTTACACCCAGGTCATGGTTATATATCATGAATACTTGTATAGATAAAAACTAAATTGAAAGTAATTTAGCTCCTTCGGATATTCAAGAACAAAAAGCCAACAAGATTAGTCAAAATATTTAATTATAGGACTAACTTGTTCTTAGATGATGCAATCTTCCCCATCCCAGTCGATCCCGCAAAAATCTGAGGACGAATTCCCCATTGAGTAGCTGATGTACTACCAAAAGGTGAAATGGCCATCTAATATATTTTCAGCAAGACAATCTGCCAATAAATACAAAAAATTATCGATGAAATTCCGCAAGCAACAAAATAAACGAACCAAAAAACAGATAGATAATAAAATGAAACAGCAAAAAGGGCTTTGTTGATACTTAAGTGAACCTGGTAGTAATGAGTAACGAATTATAAGCTAGTCAAATTCAATAATAAATATAGTATAAACAAAAACATATGCTGCAGACAAACGCTTGCAATTTTCACGCGCACAAAGGGATAAGAAGGAATTAGTGGCTTACAAACAGGTTCGTTTGTTGTAAGGAATAAAAACAAGAAGCATAAATGACAATTATAGTCCAAGTTAGAGCGAAGGAATGAATAAAAACATGTTTATGTCACAATTCTGAGACACGACAACAATGGAAAAGGAGAGAAACCTGAGGCGCTTAACCTTAACCACTGCTGCTATCGTACGCTGTGCAAAGTTTTAGCGAAGAGAAGGGGATAGTGTATGTGGGAACGAGTGGGAGGATGAGGATGCAGTGTTGGAAATGGAGCACTCTTTTTTTCTTTGCTTTATAGGATGACGCAAAACCTCCCTCGTGGTTGGGTTTTCTTTCACCCTTTTACTTTCGTTTAGCAACGACGTTGGCCTCTTACTTCGCTCCTTCTAGAACCCTAATGCCATTATTTTGGGTTGGGTTGGGTTCATTTTTAAATGCTTGAACACTTTTATTTTTTTCAATGAGATTTTTATAATAAAAAAATTGATTTATTTTTTATGGTAAAATTTATATAGTTTCATAATTTATTTTTTTATGACATACGATTTTATTAAAAAAATAATTAATGTCCATAATTGTTTAAATCAATCTTAAATTTTATCTATTACGTTTTCTATCATAAAATTGTGCTTTCTTTTCTTTCTTTTTTTACAAAAATCACGAGTATTCTTTCATATAGTCATGCATTTTTCTTATTTTATAATCTATACATTGTAAATTTAATATTGAATTGAAGAGTAATTTTGGTTTCTTATTTTTTAAATTTAAAATATAATGAAATAATTGTTAATATTGGCTTCACAAAAGTAATTATCTCTCTCATTATGCAAGGATAATCCTGTTAATATTTCTTTATTATGGATTGTAGTGAAACTTCTAGTTTTCTCTTTTGGAAGACTTGCAACAACAGATATTCATAATCTCCTTACTTATTTGTATTTCACATGAGAGGTTGAGAAAGGAACGTGAGGGATAAACACACTTTGATTGTCTTATTTTCTTTTCTTCAATATTTGTCAACCTTTTCACTAAATAAAACCAAAAAATAGAGTGGATTGTAGTATATTTAGGTTTCTGTTTAAATTATCTTACATGTTATAGTAAGAAATTAAAATTTAAAGAGAACTTGGCAAAAAGAAAAATTGTTTTCAATGGAACTAGTAAAGAAGTACAAACTCCGGCGAGAAGAGGCAACAATGTTTGGAGTCATAGGTACAAACCGATTTCTTAATTTTTAAACCCATACATTTCAGCAACCGACCTTAGCTCAGTTGGTAGAGCGGAGGACTGTAGTGGGTATACCTGGCTGAAATCCTTAGGTCGCTGGTTCGAATCCGGCAGGTCGGAACATATTTTTGCTAACTCAATGGATATACATGCTAGCACTTGTAAGTTTCTCTGGGTCAAACTTTCTGCCACAGCTTGTGACCATTGCTGTGGTTTTCTTGTTTAGACGGAGTCAAGGAGTGGTCAATTAGGAAGGCTTTTAAGTTCTTGTCCATCTCATTGGCTTCTCTACATTGATTGGGTGCCCTGCATTCTTAATGACCACAAGTTGTGCCCTCTCTCCTACATGCCTTATACAGCAGCACCAAAAACAAGTAAATGAAGTTACATTTCTCTAATTATGGCTAGCACAATCATTAGAGAAGATTCCTAGTGAGTGTGAAGATGCATGATTAGAGAGGAATCCTAGTGAGTGTGAAGTTGCATGATTAGAGAGGAATCCTAATGAGTGTGAAGATGCATGCCTATTTGCCTGCATGCACCACCGGTGGCATGACTCATTAATTTCGTTCACTGAAAAGAAGATTTTTTTTTTGATTTGTGACCTTTTCATTAAAGAATAAAGGGACAAAATTATTAGATTCGTAGCTCAGCATATACATGGGTAAATTATAGATAGGTGTTTTGGAAGAAAGAATCAATAATGAGAATGTACATTCTAAAAATTTACCTCTTCAGTCTGTGTGCTAAACTCCAGTGGGAATACCTAGTCGTGCTCTCCCCAGATAATTTGCATTGGCTGCATTATTGAAAAGTCTCAGTGTGAAAATGTAAATGTGCCCAAATTAACACAAAATATAAAAGTGAATAGCAAATTAAAAGAGAACCTGAGTTATCTTAGGAAGATTAGACAGTTTTCTTCTATCCTGGTGCAATGCTTTGATGAGTTCTTTCCTCTCCTGGCGATACTTGGTACACATCACCTGCGCCTAAATAATGCTGGTTTTTGAGCGTTTTGGTAAAAGGGTAACCCCATGATTGTGATATTCACATAGTAATTAACTAGTAGATGATTGACGTTGCAAATCATCCATGATCCATTTGCCATTCTGTAATCATTCTCCAAAATAGTTTAGTTACATATTATTGGATATGATGAATAAAAACATTTAACAATTATACTTCTAAATCAATTTAACAAACATGATTCCAACACACAATAAAGAGGTAATATGATAAATCATATGTTAAGAAATGAAATTCTAACTCCGAAGAATAAAAAAAACTTAGTTGAAAAGAGATCTCCTCATTAAAATACCTTAACATGATAAATCAGGAGGTAGACAGGGGTTGCAATTATATATATATAAAAGACAAAAGTACTTACTTGATTGAAATATTTGAGAAAACATGTCGGCACGAGTTTATTTGGTTTGGCAAAGGTAAGGTGCATCAGTTCCCTAACCTTCTCAGGAGCCTACGGCAGCAGAACACTGACAACCTCCTCAACACTTTTCACCCAAAACATTCCCTCCACATCCATGTCCTTGTCTTCCAAGCAAACTCCGGCGCAGCACACCACCACCTTCTCCGGGAACATCGCCGCCATCCCGTACGTCACAAAACCGCCGTAGCTCGGCCCAACCACGCTCGTGTTACGGATCCCGTGAGCCTCCAGCGCAGCCACGACGCACTCCGCTGGAACCGCTCCGACCTTTCGGGTCGGGTCGTGTGAGAATCCGAAGAAGAGAGGTCGGCAAGTGACTAACCTTGGTAGTAGTCAAGGGTGCATGCTCCCAAAATTAAATAAATAATTAAATATATAATAAAAAAATTTATGAGAATAAATTAAATAAGAAAATGGAAAATAATTTTATTTTTTAAAATTTTTAATGTTTAAATTTTTTATTTTTTTTCATTAGGTAATATTTTGTTAGTATTTAATTATTTTTTTAATTTTAAAGAATATATTAAATAAAAAAATTAAAAATAATTTTTCATTTTTTTTATTTTTTTTTTTATATGGTTCCAATAATAATGTTGATTGATTAATATTTAGTTATTTATTTTTTTAAATTACTTTTCATCTTTCTCTATGATTCCATTAGATTGACTAATAAAATAATTCTTTTCTCATTTTTTTTATATTGTTTATTTTATTATTGTTTGTTATTTCGATTTTTGTAGAAGATGTTTTGTTAATTGAGAAAAATATTTTTGTTTTTTATAAATTTTTATAATTTTATAATTAGAAAAATAATAATAGATTTATTTTTTCTAAATATGAAACATAAAATAATATATTCATTTTTTAAAAGTGATAAGAGAAATTCTTGTAGAAATGAAAACCAAACAAATGCAACATCTTCTCATATTTTAAAATATGATATTGATGATTTAATTATTCAATTAGAATAACTCTTTTTTTTAAGATTCATATTATTAAAAATAATGAATTTAATATTAATTCTTTGAAGCGTGACCCACATGAATATCTTATGAATCAAAGAGATAAAATTAGAAGAACACATTGATACTCCTAATTTTAATTATACTTATGTAGCACGTAATGATTGTTCTCGATATAAAAAAGATTATATTATAGTAAAACATTGTCGTAACCAAAATTGCAATCTGGACGACAAAATTAAGTTTCTAAATAAAAGAAAACAATAAAGTCGTCACAAATATTTATTTTAAGGAAAATATAAAAAAGAAAAGAAAGTGGTCTGCGAAACAAATGTTTTGTTTAAGAGTCGATTATATGTAAGAAATATATTAGCACACTACAACATCCATTTTAAAAACAGTTACCTTTAATTAGACGTAAAAATTTAAATATCTTAAAATTATCTATTTTATCCCTCAAACTTATATATTTATTAAATGTTGCTACTAAAAATAAAAGATTATATATTGTTATATTTTAGCTCGATAGAGATTATCTCCCTACTCCTTCATATCTTCAAGTGTATTGGAGAATCAAAGTAACCTAGTTCTTTGTTACAAATATTTGTGAATAATTTATTTTAATTTATCTATTTGTGTTGCAAAGTTAAACATATGTCTGAAATTATTTTAAAGTTGGATAATTATGTAATAATCAAATTAAAAATACATCTAAAGTGATTATCATTTTTATAATATGAGTAATAATTAAATCGAAAGTGCATCTAAAGTAATTTAAATATTTAAATTATTATACTTGTAATTTTTATTTAAATTTAAAAAATATATATCTTTAAATATTTTATTATAATCAAGTCAACCGTATATTTAAAGTGATTATTATAATTTTATAACAACCATAAAGTGATTATTATAATTTTATAACAACCATACTAGACGTGTATCCAAAGAAGTTAAACTTTTATGAAATATTTTCTTACTACTCTAATAACAATAATATTGCATTTTTAATAATATTTGAGAAAAAAGTGATAATTATTAAAATTTAATTGTCAATATACTAATAATGATATACTAATTTAAATTATTTTTAAGAAAAAAATGAATCATTTTTATTTGAAATTTGGATAAAATAATAATAATAATAATAATTTTTTGACTCATTACTATTTATAACTTTTTTTTTGTTATGTTGTCAAGTTTAAAAAAATAAAACAAAAGAAAAAAATATTTAAGCCCAATAAAAAATAAAAATTCTTTCATACTTGTTTTACTATTTGAAACTTATTTTTGTTATTTTTCACCCCAAACCCAGATAGAAAATATTTTTTTATCCGCCCCAAATATCTCCTGCCAATCTATTGGGTCCAAAATTTATTTGTTTCACTGTTAGAAGTCAGTTTTTGTTATTCCTACTCGACAGATTTGGGTTGCACCTCTCTTAAGCCATGTTTCCTTATCAAGTTCATGCTTCTCTTTAACCCACCTAAACCTAATACTGAGGGACAAAAAAAGGGAAGGGGGACACCGCATGAGACAAGGTGAGGGCAGCGCAGGCTGAAGATGCGACCCGGCGGTCTAGGGTTTGGAGAAGGCGATTGAGTCGTGGTTTGGATGAGGGTGATTTGATTGAGGTGGTTTGTGGTGGCACGAGTGTCGACCACAGTGGCTAGGGCATATAGGTGACGACGGTGGTGACGATTTTGGGGGGGGAGGGGAAAGGTTAGTGGGGTGATTGAGCGAGTTGCGGTGGTCTCGTGATGGTGGTAGCTACGCGCGCGACAGCGAGAGGAGATGGGGGAGAAGCAGTCTTGGATGGTAGGTTCCCGTGAGGTTGAAATGGGAGTGAGGAGAAGTGAAGGTGGTGGTGGTTGGAGGAGGAAATAAAGAGCATGAGCGGTAGGGGAAAGAGTGGAGGTGGTACAGTGAGTTCGCTGTGGTGGCTGTCAGTGGCAATGGTAAACGAGTTTTTATTTATTTTTTATAATTTTTATTAGTTGTTATGAAATATGTACGATACGGTGACACATTATTCAGATTACAAATACTATGTAACACTTTTTTTGAGATGACACGTGTAATTTTTTTTTTTTACAATTATTTTATCTCAAATAACATTTATAAAAAGATTCATATGAAACCTCTTTATTTCTCAAAATAAAACATTGTTTACCCAAATAACTAACTTAAATCATCAAAATGAGATTTAATATAAAATCTTTTCAAATGTAAATTCAAAATCACTACACTATTACATTATATTCAAAAAAACATTTTTAAATGTCTTAAAAACTCTCAAAAGACTTCTCGCGAGCATCTTACCACTAAACTTCTCTAACACCTGCATAACACAAGTCATACAATCATCGCATGTGGAAACCAACACCACAAACATGCAAGGGTGAACAAAATATTTATCTCATCACATATCATTCATGTCATTATATAATTCACCTAGCATTATCATAATGAAGCAAAACCTATTCATAATATCCACAAGTACATATTTTCAACATTACTACACTAACACTTTATCATATTTCTACCAAGTAAAAACAGACGGTATAAAATTCTCTCATAGTCAATCCTATACTTTTCCTACGCACCAACACCTCTTGGAAAAGTCTCTATTGTATTACCACAAAGTAAAAATAGACGGTATAAAATTATCTCATAGTCAACCCCTATACTTTTCCTACGTACCAATGCCTCTTGGAAAAGTCCTTATCATATTACTACCAAGTAAAAACAGATGGTATAAAATTCTCTCATAATCAATCCCTATACTTTTTCTGTGCACCAACACATCTTGGAAAAGTCTATTCCCCTGTTTTTCATAGATTTACAAGCAACAACTCCACCCGCTTGACAAAGCCTTGGATGGAGCACTCTTGTTAAGTTCATGCTAAAGACTTACGGAGAAACGAAACCTCTTTACCATGACTCGACAAAGTCCTTTAGGTAAAGAAATCATTTTGGCTTTACGGTTATCAAAAAACTCATATTATTCTCTCACCTATATACACACATATGCATACAACATTTCATCACAGATCAAACATATATAAACTCATCATGTAATTACATCATATCACACTTCAAGTATTTTTTTTTTCCTTACATTTAAGGATGTTAACATATAACTCCCACAAATTCTGCACCAAAATAATATAGACAGCAACAACAATAAAATAAAACAGCAACATGAAATGAAAATAGGAATAACATCATTTTGAAGATTCCACTACCAGGGCAGTACTCAAAGATATATTTTTATAAAATCAAATAATGGTCATAAAATTATGAAATTAAATATACTTAATATATACATATAGTCACAACTATGATAAAAATTTCATCTAAAAAAACTTTAATATCGATTTTATATTATTTTTCGAAGTTATTTGGCGGACATAGCAACTCTGTTTCGCCCAACTCAAAACCTAATCACTTACAAGATTTTTCATGGAAAAACTACTTGTCAGAAAATTTTGAAATAAATCACACACAAACTAAACATATGAAGGAACATATAACCAAATTTTCAGAATTAAAAACCAAGTAAATAATTTTATATAATTTCCCAAAGATTCTTTTTACATGCAGATTTTTTCAGCAACACCCCTCAATACATTTTTCATCATCTTCCTTTAGAAAAATCTAATTTAAGTGATTTTTATAGCTAACTCTAGGTTTTAGCATCCAAGAAACTCTAGAATATGAAAGGAGTATTGTAGAGTATCTAAAATACACTAGAACATCCATATAAATTTTTTTTATCAAATATTATTGTTTGATTCCAATTCATGTAGGAATGAGAAAAATGGTGGTTTAGCCTAGGATTGATGGCAAAAAGATTTTCCTTACAATTCCATGTTGACAACTCAAGCAATCAATCGGTTCAAAAAAATATAATAATAAGAAACAAGTTTTGGTACACCTTACCTGGATATTCCTACAACAAGATCACTTGGCTTGTTCTACTCTCTTTGGCTCCCAATCCTCTCACCTACTCTGCAGTTCCCCCTTTCTTTTTCTCCTTCCAGCATTTTCTACTCTCTCCCAAACCCTAATTTTTAAATTATCTCTCATGACCCTTTGTTTTTCCTTTACCAGACTATATAAATGCACCTCCTAAGGTACACCACTCGAATTTACGAAAAAATATATATTATTAACTACTTTTTACTTTAATCAAGATTTGAACTCAAAACTACTTGAATTTTTAAATTCGCTATCATGACCCTTTGTTTTTCCTTTACTAGACTATATAAATACACCTCCCAAGGTACACCACTCGAATTTACGAAAAAATATATATTATTACCTCCTTTTTACTCTAGTAAGGATTTGAACTCATAACCCCCAAGACTCAAGCATTACTCCAAATCATAATAGCCATCATATGTTTCTTGTCAATCCATACATATAGCAAAAATTACAATGTACCCACACACACAATGCATACAAGAAAACAATCATTAACCAATAATTTCTAAACGTGACAATTAAAATCTTGCTTTGGAGGTTCTTCTCAAACCCTAAACCTTTTATGGCTTTCCTTCGTATGCATTAGAAATTAGGGTCATGTAGACATCTAGATAAATATTGCAAATAAATAAATAAAAAGGGTAAAAGTGTAATTTCTAAAAAATCTTTATTTTATGAATTAATCCATCATAGGAAACCCGAAAGGGGTGCTGTGGGCTGCTAACACTTTCTCCACGCGTAACTGACTCCCTTATCCGACTCTAGTTATAATAACCAATTTTTTTTTAACCAACGCCTTTTTTTATCCTTTTTCAATGTTTATGATTAAAACATTAGTGGTGACTCCATAAGAACCCATTTTTGCGAAAACCTCACTTTTAAGGTTAGTTTGGTTATCGAGCATCCTAAAAGTAATAACCCAACTATTTTACGAAAACACGAGATTCAGTCATCGCGTCGCGACCGCTCGCACTTTTCGTTCCCCGCGCAGGGGACGGCGGCGACATGCCTCAAGAAAGAACTTTGAAAAACTTTACAGAAACTTGTGCATTTCTTCCTTAAAAAGATCTTTATTGATTGCTTGATTGATATCTCAAAGTTGATCAATTAAAACAGTTATACAAAAATTTCCTAAGTCATTTTAATCGATTGATTCACGGTTTAATCGATTATAATACTGTCATATAAATTCTCAAAACTCCACAAGTGATTTTAACTGATAAAAACATGATTTAATCGATTAAAACATTAAACAAAAATTTCTCTAAGTTGATTTAATCGATTAATTCAATGTTATATCGATTAAAATTCTAGAAAAACTCTTTTCAAAACATCTCAAGTGATTTTAATCAATTAATTTGAAGTTACATCGATTAAAATACTAACAGAACACTTTTCAAAACTTTTCAAGTGATTTTAATCGATTAATTTAAAGTTACATCGATTAAAATACTGACATAATACTTTTAAAAACATCTTAAGTGATTTTAATCGGTTAATTCGAAGTTATATTAGTTAAAATACTGATAGAATGTTTTCGAATACATTTCTAATGAAAATAATCAATTACTTTGAATGTGCATCGATTAAAACAGTGACAATATATGTTTTAAGTCATTTTAATCGATTATTTCGAAAATACATCAGTTAAAACTTTGTTAGGAATGTGACTAGTTGATTTTAATCGATTAATCTTTAAGTATATCAATTAAATCTTTAGTCTTAAGATTAATCGATTAAACTGCTTTTTAACAGACATTTCAAAATCTTTCAAATGATGAACCTTTATGCAGTAAAGAATAATGAATGATTATACCTATTAATATTGATGTAAACTCACTAATCACTACACCCTTTAACCCAAAGAACCTTTGACTTCATCAAATCTTCAAGATCTTTTAATCTCTTCATAAGGTTCAATAAGATCTTCATCACTTTCACCATTGCCACATGATGTTCGCTCTGATGTTGTGGAGTAAAAGAAGGGAAGGGTCGGAGTGGTTATGAGACTTGGGGGCAAATAATGCATGATTGTCCCTTCACCGAGATCGATGGTTGTGGATTTGAGCCTAGCCCGAGAGAAGGAATATCGGAAGTACTGGTCACGCCAAGTAGTGAAGCTCAAACGCCTTCTACTACTACCCATTTTATTTTGTCTTTGGTGAAGAAACAGAATTATATTGTTGCATAGTGGAAGCTTGAAATGACAACAAAACACTAAGTCAATGGTCGTGCTTTTTCAACCTTACTTTTGTTGTTGGAAAAACATAATATAACAAAAGAATCGGTGCTCTCTTGTTTGATTTTCCTTGCAGGTGATTTTTTTTTTTTTATGTTGGAGGCTTGCAACCTTTCGTTCTTTGTTTTAGGCAAATGGGCATGGGCATTCACAAGTCATGAGATCAAGTCATGATATGGTGCTTGTTCATAAATCTATCTTTTTTATATAAATAAAACATTTTTTCTCTTTCAAAAAAACACATTTTTCACTCTCATCTCATATTTTTTTTCTCTTATCTTGAGTTATTAACTTTTTAAGAGTTTTTCTTGCTAGTTCTGATTGCTTCGAAAAGGTTTATTTGTGTTCTTGTCAGCTTTTACAACAATCTTAAGAACTTATGGCGGATACCAATAATAACTCTATACCATAAAAGACAAACAATGTTTCTAAAACTCAAATTGTCTTTGCAAAACCTTTCCCAGACGTTTAGAAAATCGAAATTTTCATTGGGCAAAACTTTCGATGTTAGTAGGAACGCATTTCTATTCTGTTAGACATGTATGAAGTAACTTCTGCTCTTATAACTATCAAAACTTAATCCAGTACTCCTACTAAATAGATTGAAGATTGAATCCATTCGAATAAGGTATATCGACACACTCTACTTAGTACATTGTCTAATGATTTGTTCAATTTGTATTGTTCCTATAAGGAAGTCAAAGATATTTATGATTCGTTGATTCTCAAATATATTGTCGAAGATGTCATGAGACAAAGGTTCATTATTGGAAATTACTACCATTGGGAAATGCTAGAAGATAAGGATATCAAGATCCATATCAATGAGCACCACAAGCTAAGCCGAAAACATAATCTTACTTGATGAGCTTGTTTCAGAACTTCTAACCGAAAAGTTTCCAGAATCCTTAGACTACAAACAACAGTTGAAGCATAGGCATAAACAGATGTCACTGTTAGATCTTATCACACATATCATCATAGAAGACACAAACCAAAAGGAGTGTGTTGCAACAAGCGCTAAGACACTATTAGCTAAGGCAAATATAGTAGAAAACATACCAACACCAAAAAGGTATGAGAAAAAACTTGATTATAAGAAGAAAATAATTTAAAAAAATTTCATCTCAATGGATCTAACCCCACATTCAAGAAGAAGAAAATTTGTTTTGTCTCTGGAAAGTCAGGTCATTATGCACTTCAGTACAAACATAGAATAAGAAATGACAATCCTGCTAAGGCAAATTTAGCTGAAGGAGAATATACAATTGTTGCAATCGTTTTTCAAATAAACCTTGTGAAAAATGTGAGCACATGGGTGGTAGTCTTTGGTGCTACTAGGCACATTTGTGCAAACATAAGTGTTTTTACCTCTTACACTAGTATGAAGATGAAGAAAAACATGTTTATCTCGATGATTCTAAGACAACTCCTGCCTTAAGAAAATGAAAAGTTCATAAAAAACTCACATATGGGAAGACTCTGGCTTTAAGTGATGATGTGTTACATGTGTCATCAATCAAAGTTAATCTAATCTCTATAGCACTATTGAGAAAAGTTGGGTTAAAGTATCATTCGAATATGATAAGATTGTTTTAACAAAAAATAATGTGTTTGTAGGGAAGAAATATTGTGATCAAGGTCTTTTTGTACTTAAAATTTCTGAAGTTGTTAATGAATTAGGTTCTCCTACTTATATTATTGATTCATATGATATGTGACATGTTAGACTAGGACATGTGAATTCTTTGTATGTTATGAAATTACAACGATTATGATTAATTAATATGCATGATAAATAAAATAGAAAACGTGATTTTACAAACATCGAGAGGAATGTGACTCAAGTCACTTGCAAACAAACAAGTGATGGTAATTCAATCTTTATAATTGGAACAAACAAGTGATAGTAACTAAACCTTTATGATTGAAGATTCCATGAATAAGGTTTGTATGAGTAAAAACAAGTTACTTGTTAGTTTTGCTAGCACTAAAATTGATTAAGATTAATTATGTTAATTCCTATGATGTGTGAAAGTGCTAGATATTACATCTTTGATATTTTAAACTTTGTAATTAAAATTCTATATGGTGTACGAATTTTAACTTAAACAAAGATTTTAATGATTTCATATCCTTTACAGGTGGTGTAAGATTTGCAACATAAACTTGATGAAATCACCAATATGGATGTCGAGTGAGACCACTTGTATGAGATATTTGCAAGATTTCTAAAACACTCACGAATATCAAGAACACACATGACCTAATAAGTGTAACACAATGATAACAACAAAAATTATGGAGGTGTATTGTGATTGTTAAATCGATAACACTCTATAAGTGTTTTTTGTTCATATAGCTTGTTATACAAACTATAGTGTGTGTTAAATTTATCAATTTAAGACTGGTTCATATAGCTTGTTATACCAATTCTAATGTTTTACATCTTATATAAGATCCATGACTCTCTCCTTTCTATCCTTTTATGATGTCTTTTGTAATAAATGGCGAATTGTTGGAAAAATAGAATATAGCAAAAGAATTGAGTCCTCTCTTACTTGATTTCTCTTGCATATCGGGTGATTTTTTTTTAAGTTGCAGACTTGCATCCTTCCTCCTTACATGGTCCTTGATTATAGGCAAGTAGGCATTGTAAGTCATCACATAGTAGGTTTATCCATTGATTTATCTCTCTTATAAATAGAACATTTTTCTTCCTTCAAAAAACACATATTTTCACTCTCATCTCATCTCATCTCGTCTTCTTTGGTTCTAAATCATTTACTCTTAAAGAGTGATTTTTACTAGTTTTGTGTTATCGAAATTTTTTTATTATATTTCGAAGGACTTACATGATACATGATACATCGAGAATCAATCTATAAAATATTTAGTAGATAAATTTATCTTATTAATAATTTTAATATAAAATTATTGTATACCATTCTTTAATCATAAAATAATACACTTTTAATCAAAATCTTAAATTTATTATACAATGTAATTTATTCATGATTTAACGACGCTCTAATTTTTTTTTCTTTATTGAGTCAGAGTTATAACTCTCCAATTTATTTTTTTATTATTTCAGTTTTTTTTTACCCAAACATGTTAGACACGTGGTTTTCATGTTAATTTTTATATTAAAACAAAACAATGGGTAAGATGTTCAAATTATTAACAAAAATTTAAAACGCTTTCAATATGCCGCACTAATGTCATGATTAAAAAAAATTCAAGAATCATTATCCTGATACATAAGTGAGGAATATAATGATAGTAGTTTTCCTTTTTGACTTTTGGGAAGGACCAGGCGGATTATTTAAACAAAGCCTCCTTGGAAAATGCCTAATCCAGTGACAAAATATTCAAGAGCAAATCACTGCGTGGATAGTTAGTTGACACACCTAATCCAAATGCATTGTTACTACAAATATTCTTTTTAACTCCCCACAAATACAGAAATATGATAGATAAGAGATAAAATAACGAAAACCAAGAGAGAAAACACAAATAGAATTATAGTATATTTTCACTTTAAAAAAAGGCAAGTGGGAAAATAACAGCATCTTTAAGTAATCACCTTAATATATAAATTTGAACATAAGTTGCAAAATCGTGTATAAGAGAAAAATGACAATCTCTTTGAAGTAACATGCACAAGACTGATTAACAAAAATACGGTGATTCTCCTTGATCTATAAGTTTTATTCAAATCTTGACACTGAAAAAATTACCTGCAATGCATAACTTAACTAAAACAGAAGTAAAATCGTAGACGGGTTAAAGCGATGAAGCAGTGGGTTATTTCAAGTTCAAAATATTAACTAGGATTAATAATTTATAATTTAAAATTATATATTATAAATATTAAGATTTCTCACTAAATAAAATTGAATAATTTAGTGAAATAAAAAATTATATTGATTAATTTATTATATTATTACTGTATTTTTAGTTAAAATAAGATTTTATCACACGTTCTTTTTTTAAACAGGTATTTTTAAATTTTAAAAAAATTTCATATTTAATTATTGTTAGAATTGACACTAATATGATATTAAAATTATATACATAATTTAATTTTATAAAACCAATTTAATAAGATTAAAACTATACTTTAACTAATTAATATATAATTTATATATATATATATATATTATTCAAAATAATATTTTTATCAACTTAATTTTAAAATAGCAACAAGAATCAATATGTTTTTATTTAAATCAACTAACGAATCATTTAAAAAAATAATCAACAATTGACTATGTCTGAAAAGAGTAGAAAAAATAACAATTAAATTGAGCTAAAATAGGGATATTAATTAAATATACTAATATTATAAAATTTTATATGTAAGATACCTTATTCATTTTTGTAATAATTAAAAAAATCATCTTAAGGTCAATCTCTTGATCAGTTTATAGTATAAACATTTTTATACCAGAAAAATAGTTAAACTCTTAATTAAATTATACTTCACATTTGTTTTGTTTCTAAGTAGTTTATAATATTACGAATTTAAATTTTATTATTTTCGACTCTTAATTTAGAAATATTCCACTATTAGTCTTTATTATGAAAACTAAAATGATCACACACTCAATTATTAATCGCAAAGAAGAATTAAAATGTATTACATCAATTTTAGAAAGTTATTTGATATGGCACGATAAAAAGAAAGTGAGCGAGAAAACAAAAATTTAAATTAAAGAAAAAAAGAAAAATGATTTTTTTTTTCTCTTGGTCTTAGCTTTTCTTCAATTTGCATTTTATCTTCAATTAAATAAAATTTGAGTAAAAGATGTTCAATTGAACAAAAGAAAAAGCTTTGATATCCATATTTGCATTTCATCTAATTAAATATTATTTACCTAAAAAAAAAAGAAATGAAAGAGCAAGCACTGATAGTGATTGGGCGACAATGATAGCGATTGAGAGACAATGATTGGTTTTTATTTTCAAAGTACTACCGACTAGTGGATAGCACATTGAATTGCTTTATGCTATCTTCACCACCCAGTATCTTACTAATATCTTCAGTAACAAAAAAAAAAGGTTAAAATATCGTAGGGTTTCTTTATGTTTTTCTCTTTTTATTTTTTTATCTTCCTTGGCTTAATGAATTATGGCTACATGACTATTATAATATCACTGCTAGAAGTATAATTTATTAAAATACAAAGTATGGTGTAAATTATTCTATACTGAAACTTCACTCAAAATTTTAATCAAAATCTTTTTAAGAAACCTTTTTCATTAGCTTCTGTTTCAGTTCACACTTGTTATGTCTTCTTCTCGGTCTTGTTTATATATCTCGACTTTGCTTAACCGTTGTCTCTTCTCTTCGTCACTGCCACCCCAGCTACTCATTTAATCATTTTACCAACAAAAGGTTAAAAAAAAAAAAAAAACGGCTTTTGGCAGATTCTAATAATGTTTCATTTTTGTCTTGTACATTACTCCACTTCCGTTCCCGGTTTCATTTGTTCTCTCCTTTTGTGGTTGACCCCTCTCTGTTAGTACTTAAGCTTTTTCCATAAATGGTTGAAAATTCACGGTTGGTCATTTGACACGTCTCATATCACATCGTGGTTCTGGAAATCTGCTCCATTTTTCCCCCTTTTAACTTTACATGATGTTTACCGTTTTTCTTCACTGATTGCAACTTAGGGGTTTTTTTTATTTGTTCTACACTAGAGAGATGAAGATATGTGATGTGGTACTTGAGCATAATGCACCTTGGGTCACTGGTTGAGTGGTCGATGTCAGTGGAAAAATGGATTTGGCAGCTGTTCTTTTGCTATTAACGAGTGTGTGCTCTTCGGCGTTGGCTGGGCTTGACTCACAAGGTTCAATCTTCTGTTCTCTTCCTCTGCTACTCAAACTTCTTTCATGTTAGTTGTTAAGCTATGTAAAATTTGGCTGCAGTTTATATTTTCTTCAATTCCTTTTGTCCCTGTCAAGTTCTGGATTTCAACTTAATAGAAAGTTCAGATTCATCCATATTTAGACTCGCTAGTATTTTTGTTCTGCCTCTCTAGGATTTGATTTCTTCTCACTCCTTTCTGGTACACTAGTGTGGCTGATTGGGTTGACCAGGTGGCACTTGTCCTGTATCTTCTTAATCCTTTCTGGTACATTTTGCCCTTTTCCTGTATCTTTGAATAAAATCAGTTTGATTTTATCAATTTTTTAAAACATGCTCCATATGAATGGTCGTTCTTTCAACCGCGGAATAAACAATTGAGTAGTAGTAGTAGTAGTTGGAAATTAATGAAACTTTGAAATTTGGATCATGTACTAACTGGGAAAAATCTTTATCCCAGGGAAACAATATTGTGTTGGCAAACTTTACCTTTGCACATCATTTACGAGGAATACATAGATAAAAATGTTCGTTGACAAAATCTGATAATCTTATCATTTTACAATATTGCAGTAAAATGTTATGGATTTTACATTTATCTGCCTTTCTGGTTATCTCGATGTTGCAAGTGGATTTGGACTGCCAGTCTTTAATCGATTTATAATGTTTATGTTCATTTCAGAAGATGCACTGTATGCGTTGAAGTTATCACTGAATGCTTCTCCGAACCAGCTTACAAACTGGAATAAAAATCTAGTTGACCCTTGTACTTGGTCCAATGTTGAATGTGACCAGAATAACAACGTTATTCGAGTGTAAGATATTCGTATTCTAATATTGGAAATCTCCACTGGCTGCTTTCTTTGAATAGAAATGCTAAGAACACTTTCTCTAGTATACTTTTCTGAACATACTCTCTTGTTGGTTGAAATTTATTAAAAATGACTTTTTTTTTGGGTTATATATCTTATTTAACAAATCTCTCATTTAATTTTGTAGTTTTCGATAAATTTAACTAATAAGAGAGTGTATGTTAGAAAGACTATGTTCCTAATACTCCTCTTCTTTTGAATATTTAATTTGCAGAAGATTGTGACAGCCTCAACTTCATTGGTATTGATATATGTAATTCATAATGTATAATTATATTTATTACTTCATTGCAGTTCACTAGAATTTATGGGATTCACAGGATCGTTGACACCAAGAATAGCATCTCTAAAAAGTCTTGCAACTCTGTAAGCATTTATAATATTAAATATTCACAGAACTGCCCTGTCCCATGTTTCAGTTCCTAGCCTCATCATTCTTGATTTGTTTCATTTTACTGTTAAGGCATGAATTCATGAAATCACATGGATACATTACTGTTTGAATACTATCTTCTGTATATCTGATGAACAGTAGTAGACTATTCAATCATTCAGTAGGTTTCCTACTTTCTAATTGTTAACTTAAGAAAGTATATATCATCTGCAATGTGTATATGGAAATATGTATACTTTGATTATTTTTTTCAAGAACCATTTGATGCTCTTTGGTGAATTTTGTGATTTTAAATCATACTCCCATTCTTCACGAGTTCAATTGTTCATCTTTTTCACCTTTTTTCTTACACATTTATCATGAAGTTCTTTGCAAGGAAATAACATCACTGGTGACATACCAAAAGAATTTGGAAATCTGACAAGCTTAATCAGATTGGATTTGGAAAACAACAAATTAACTGGTGAAATACCATATTCCCTGGGTAATCTTAGAAAGCTTCAATTCTTGTAAGTATGGAGTCTTAGCATCTATTTTCCTTTTGTAATGTCCGGAAGTGTCTAATATCAATCCTTCAACTAGGACATTGAGTCAAAACAATTTCAATGGGACTATTCCGGAATCACTTGCCACTCTCCCAAGCTTGATCAATGTGTATGTGAATATCCTTTTATACTTTTTGTATTTTGATGTTAAGTACATTTTATTATCATTTGATATCTGATGGATTGTTCCAACTTCTCTTTTACAGTATGCTAGATTCAAATGATCTTAGTGGGAAGATTCCGGAGCAGTTATTCAGCATCCCTACGTACAAGTACGTATGATAAATTAGAATTAGATACCTTTGTTGAATATAGGGAAAAACTGTATAGGGTTAATTTCCCTTATGTATTTACCACACATAGGGCAGTGTATTTATAATAAAGAAAGGTACTCCTCAAAAGAGTAACAGAATACAAATAGGGTAAATAAAAATATATTATTTGATATTGTGATTAACAATATCTAACAATATCTCAACAATATCAACTAATATCTAATCATATCTAACACTCCCCCTCAAGCTGGAGCATACAAATCGTATGTGCCTAGCTTGGTACAAAGATAATCCATCCTAGGTCCCCATAAAGACTTAGTGAAAATATCTGCTAATTGATCACATGAGTTAACGAACTCAGTCTTGATGTCTCCAGACATAATCTTTTCCCGAATAAAATGACAGTCAATCTCAATGTGTTTAGTCCTCTCATGAAAGACAGGATTAGAGCTTATATGGAGAGCGACTGATTGTCACACACTAGTGTCATTTGAGTGACATCTCCAAATTGTAGCTCTTTAAGCAATTGCTTGAGCCAAATAAGTTCACAGGTAGCCGAGGCCATAGCTCTATACTCGCTTCTGCACTCGGATCTTGCCACAACACTTTGTTTCTTACATTTCCATGAGATCAAGTTACCACCAATGGAAACACAATACCCGGATGTAGATCTTCTATCGGAGGGAGATCCTGCCCAATCGGCATCCGAATAGCAGACAACTCTTGTATGATTATGGGAGTCATACACCAAACCTTTTCCAGGAGACTTTTTGATGTACTTCAATATACTGGATGATCGCATTCCAATGATCTTGACAAGGAGAATTGAGGAATTGACTCACCACACCGATCGCAAAGGAAATGTCGTGGCGAGTAACCGTAAGATAATTTAATTTTCCAACTAATCTTCTATACCTGTTCGGGATCCGACATTGGCTCCCCCGATTTGGCAAGAGTTTGGTATTAGGATCCATGGGTGTGTCAACGAGCTTTGAATTCATCAACCCAGCTTCCTCCAAAATATCCAATGCATACTTTCTTTGAGATATAACAATGCCATCGGTAGATTGTGCTACCTCAATACCCAAGAAATATCTCGAGTTTGCCAAGATCTTTGGTTTGAAAATGGTGGCAAAGGTGTTGTTTCATCTCGAGAGATGCCATGATGGTCACTACCTGTAAGAACAATGTCATCAACATACACTATCAAATAGATACATCCAAGCATTCGAGTGACTGGATCGAGTGGTCCGCCTCACTTCTAGTCATGCCAAATTATTGAACAACGCCGCTAAATTTTCCAAACTAGGCCCTAGGAGACTGTTTTAGGCCATATAAAGATTTGCGAAGACGACATACCAATCCGGAAGACTCCCCCGAGCAACAAATCCGGAGGTTGCTCCATATAAATCTCTTCTTGCAAATCGCCATTCAAGAAAGCATTTTTGACATCCAGCTTGATAAAGAGGCCATTGTTGAATAGCGAGCCATGGCAATGAATAAACGAACGAAGCCATCTTTGCCACTCGGAGAGAAAGTATCACCATAATCCAACCCAAAAATTTGGGTATAGCCTTTGGCTACAAGGCGAGCTTGAGGCGATCAATAGTACCATCAGGACCAACCTTGATAGCGAAGACCCACCCGCAACCAACAACATGATTTTCCGGATGGTAATGGGACAAGCGTCCAGTGTTCCACTAGTCCGAAGAGCACCGAGTTCATCTAGCATGACCTCGACGCCAACCAGGGTGGGCTAAGGCTTCGAGAAAGATTTAGGAATAGACAAAGAAGAAATAGACGAGAGACAGGTATAAAATGGTGAAGAAATTCGATGATAACTTAAAGCAAGTATAATGTGGAGAAGGATTACGAGTAGAACGCGTACCTTTACGAAGGGCAATATGAAGGTCGGACTCGTGGACTGAACCGGAGGAGGCAGAGTATTTGGCACTGGGAGTGAGTCATGTGGCGTCTGTTGTGGGCGAGGTCTCGCGACTATAAACCCGAAGGGGTGGTGGAGGAGGAGGGGCTAATGGTGGATGGTCCTCAACATAAGGATCAATGAGAACGGGAATGGGAACTGTAGCAGATGGAGACTCAGCAGGTAGGGAAGGGTCCTTAAAGTAAAAGGAAAACTCATTGAAGGTGACATCGACAGACACAAAATAGCGATTAAGAGAAGGAGAAAAACACTTGTATCCTTTTTGGGATCGAGTAAATCCTAAGAAAACACATTTGTGTGATCGAGGAGATAACTTATCATGACCAGGATCAAAATTGTGGACAAAACGGGTAGACCCAAAAACCTTCGGAGGTAAAGGATGGAGAGTGTCATGAGGAAATAAAATAGAATGGGGAATTTTGTTATCTAAAACCGAAGAGGGCATACGATTAATAAGATAACGAGCAAGTAAGAACAAAGATCACCCCAAAAATGTTGAGGAACCTCACCATAAATTAAAAGAGTACGGGTTGTTTCAATAAGGTGTCTATTCTTGCGCTCACCCACCCCATTTTGTTGAGGGGTATAAGCACAGGAAGTTTGATGAAGAATGTCATGAGAAGCCATAAATTGTTTAAACTAGTTTGAAAGATATTCACTGGCCATTATCACTTCGAAAAGTTTGAATAGAGACACCAAATTGATTTTTAATTTCATGATAAAAGTTTTGGAATATAGAAAACAACTCGTAACGATTTTTCATTAAAAATAACCAAGTACAACGAGAGAAATCATCAATAAAAGTAACAAAATATTGAAAACCTAAATTAGACTTAACACGACCGGGTCCCCAAATGTCGAGTGAACTAAGGCAAAGGGGGATGAAGCACGCCGGGAAACACTACGAGAAAAGGAAGTACGACTATGTTTGCCTAACCGACAGGACTCACACACCAAATTGGACAACCGGGATAAGCTGGGAACAAGTTGTCGTAATTTGCGCAGACCGGGGTGACCAAGCCGAGCATGAAGGAGAGAAGGAGACTCCATAACTCGTGCCAACATGTGGAGAAGGTTGAAGATAATAAAGTCCATGTGACTCACATCCGGTGCCAATCACTCTTTGCGAGCTCCTGGTCCCGTAGGGAAACGAAGTTTTGGTAAAAGAGATAACACAATCAAGAGATCGAGTTAGACTGGCTAATGGATAATAAGTTAAAGGGGGACCCGGTACATACAAAACATTATCAATGGACAACGAGGGAAAAAGAGTAACCGTTCCAACACCATGAGCTAAAGTTGTAGACCCATTAGCCATTGTAACGGAGGGTAAATTATGAGAAGAAGTGAAAGAGGAAAATAAGGATTTGTTACCGAGTGATGTGATCGGTGGCGCTCGAGTCAAGAACCCAAGGGCCAATAGAAGAAGAGTGAGTCGGACCAACAAAAGATGTACCTGTGTGGGCAACGAAGTAGTGGAACCGGAGGGCTTTCGATCCTCATACCATTGAAGAAAATCATTGAAGATAGCAGATTTGTCTCGAAGGTACGGACGAAGGAGGATCCACAGCAGAGGATTGTGCGGAAGAATCGGTCCGAGCAACTGCAGCAGATCGGCGAGGATAACCATGTAAAGCATAACATTTGTCAATTTTGTGGCCTAGTTTGCCACAATGGTCACACTTGACACGCCCTTTGCCTGGCTTGTGAGAGCGATTACGATCATCACGGTGAGAGGCCAAGGCAGATGAATCATTAGAAACTACAGGAGGAATATTGAGAGGTTTACATGGTACCCGCAAAAGGGAGGAACTGGTAGCGGTAAAACTGGGTGTAACAGGGGAACCCAAAATCTGGTCACGAACAGGGGCATATTTATCAGCAAGTCCGTGTAACATCAAAACCATGAAAAACTTTGATCGTTGCTCTAATTCTTGGGCAGGAGTCGAGGCAGGGGGTAATAACTCATTAAATTCATGGAGAAGAGCATGGATCTTACCCACATAATCCGCCACAGGATCCTTATCTCGAGGAGCAATAACATCAAGAAGATTGTAACAAACACCATAAAGACGTTGAGTGTCATTGGTGTATAATAATTTGGCTTGTTCCCAAACGTCATAACATGCATAATTCGTACCATCTAATTTATCAATGGGTAAATTCACATTGACATAATTAGTAAAAACAGATTGCTCAGACCCACCGGAGCTGACAGAGGTAACTTCAGAATTGGAAGTGGCAGCGGAAGATGCCATGGAGGAAGAGAGAGAAAAACCCTAAAACACCAAAGAGGTCCGATTGGAGCAGCGAGGACAGATCCAGAGAGAGGAGAAGGAGGCGACGCCGGCGCAAAGATCGGCGGCCTGAACGGCGGCGAGACGCGCCGCCACGCGCGGCGGAACGGGAGAAGGTGGCGCGGCTTCGGGAGGCGCGTGAGGGAGCGTGGCTGCTCCGATGACCGCGAAACTTCCACGGTGGAGGTCGCACGGAGGAGGCGAGCAAAACCCTGTGCTCGGCGGTCCGAACTGCTACTCTGGCGACGGCGGCGGCGGACGGCGGCGGCGACGGCGGCGCGATGGAGGCGGCGACAGCTGCAGGTTCAGTGGCAGAGCCGAAAAAAAATCTCAAGAGACCTTAAGCTCTTGATACCATGTTGAATATAGGGAAAAACTGTATAGTGTTAATTTCCCTTATGTATTTACCACACATAGGGCAGTGTATTTATAATAAAGAAAGGTACTCCTCAAAAGAGTAACAGAATACAAATAGGGTAAATAAAAAGATATTATTTGATATTGTGATTAACAATATCTAACAATATCTAACAATATCTCAACAATATCAAACAATATCAACTAATATCTAATCATATCTAACAACCTTAAAACAAAATTTTGAAATTCTTCAGTTACCTTTGTATTCCTGACCCAAGGAAGATTCATAAATGGCTAAAACACCTGGAAAGTTGATGCATCCGTCCTAAACAACCAGTGTCTACAATTCATTCAACGAACTCTGTTACAAAATCAGAGTAGTCTAGCATTCTAATGGTCTTATCTGGTTCGACTCTTTGATCTTCCTTTGAAAGATTTGTAATCATCACATATTCAATTTCTCCAACTTAATTTAGAGTTCTCATAGAATGACTTCTTTCCACATGCCTGACAATACGATATATAATATTGAATGGCAGAAGTTTAAAAAGGTGGTAGTTTTTGGTTGCCTAAAAGAAAAATGATTTTTCATTGGCAAATACCGATCAGTTTCCCCAGGGTTGTTCAGGAAACAATAATAATATTTTCTTGTATACAATTATTTAGAATCTTGTTCTTTGAGTCATACATCTAAATTTTTCATGTTTATGTAGTCCTTGGATAGAAATAGAACTTTGTATCTAAATTCATGTGATGTTGTCCATTGCTTATATAGACTTATTTATGTTCTGCTTTGTTTCACTATATTACCATTGCAGTTTCACTGGAAATAATTTGAATTGTGGTGTTAGTTATCATCATCTTTGCTCATCTGATAATGCAGAGCAAGGTTACTTTTCTTAATCCTATTTTGGTCTGTAAAGTGTTTTTGTACTCCCACCCTACATTTGCAGGCAACAAGCTGAAAACTAGTTTTCATTCGCTTGGCAGGTCCATATCATAAAACAAAAATAGGCCTCATAGTTGGAATAGTTACAGGTTTAATTGTTATTCTTTTTCTCGGTTGTCTGCTGATCTTCTGGTACAAGGGGTGCAAGCGTGAAATTTTTGTAGATGTTCCAGGTTTGAGTTCCTTTTTTACTCTGTGCAATTATTTTGTAGATATTTTGTAGCTGCAGAAATAGAAACTATTGATCTGGTGACACTAACTACACATTCTGTTCCAAGCTGGTTTAATGCTATAAAGTCATGAATATATAAGTCATTATCGTCCCTATTTTAGATTTATTTTTATGAATGGTATACCGCATAGCTCGTTATGCACCATCTATTTGTTGGAATTGCATTTTCCTGTAAAAAATACAGATATCCACCATGAATGTCAATAACATCTGTCTGTCTGCACTAATGTAATATTATTTTTATTGAATAGGCTTAGTTCTTCAAACATCTTACACTTTAATGTTGCAAATATGTTTTGTTTATGCTTTCCTTCATTTTGGTATTACTGACAACTTATGGCTCATTGGATATAATAACCACAAATTAGGATATACCCCACCATTCTTTTGAACCTTTCTTGTCCGCCAAAGGTGGGGTATGGTAAAATCTTTATGAGATAGAATTTACTGGTTGAACTATCTTGTAATGCTTAATTGTGACCACTAGTTGATGTACTGTCTAACTTTCATTTTATAAAAAGAAGAGTAGTAGACCAGGGCAAGGTTAATTTATGCTCAAGAGCTGAAGAAAATTTTTTTAAAACAAAGAAACAATCAAGATTCATATTTTAACATCAATTTTAAAAGTAAGGTTGACATGAACTATCTATTTTAGTTTTTTTTTTTTTTTTTAAGTTTTCTCTTGGTCACTGGCTATTTTAATCTCTTTTTTCTCATGTATTTCCAGGGGAGGTCGATCGCCGAATTACATTTGGGCAAATAAAAAGATTTTCCTGGAAAGAACTCCAGATTGCTACAGACAACTTCAGTGAGAAAAATATCTTAGGACAGGGAGGATTTGGAAAGGTTTATAAAGGTATTCTAGCGGATGGTACAAAAATTGCTGTCAAAAGGTTAACTGATTATGAAAGTCCTGCGGGGGATGCAGCTTTCCAGCGTGAAGTTGAGTTGATAAGTGTAGCTGTCCATAGGAACCTGTTACGACTCATTGGTTTTTGTACTACTCCAACTGAACGCCTCTTAGTTTATCCCTTCATGCAGAACTTAAGTGTTGCCTATCGTCTACGAGGTATTTAGTTATATTGCATGTTTGCATTACTGGTCTGCTAAATATTAAATTTGATCTGCTATAAAACAGGGAGTATAATTAGTAATTACTTTATTTTGTAACTGGGATTGGAGGGTCATGACTCATTCAAACCATTTTAACATTTCCTAGAATATGATGTGGTTGAATAGCCTCAATATCTTCGTTTGTTTCAGTCATATAAACAAACCATTTTAACATTTCCTAGATATGATGGTGCATTATGCAATAAAAAGTTTAATCTAACATTCAGTACACTTGACATTTTCAAAATTTGTCTAAAGCTCCAGAGTTCTTTTGGAATAATAAGTACTTATTGTCTTCACATCAGACTTAGGGAATAGAACTAGAATGTGAGAGATGAATACGAGAATACATGTGCTTTATTGACAGAAATATGTAGAGGTGTGAACTGTCATCATGTAGACCTGCCCATATTTATATATTCAGCTTTGTGCCGTTTCAAAATCTCGAAATCCTGATGTGATATGGAATTTAACCATGTCCGCATTATGAATTTTGTATCTCTGTCTGGCAATATTTTAATTTGAGGGTATTGTCTTTAAATTTGCTTTTATATTTTGGTGAGAATTTGTCTGCTTTAACACTGGTGCAGAACTCAGACCTGGGGAACCCGTTTTAGATTGGCCTACTAGAAAGCGAGTGGCTCTGGGAACAGCCCGTGGCCTAGAATATCTTCACGAGCAGTGCAATCCTAGGATTATTCATAGGGATGTGAAGGCAGCTAATATATTACTAGATGGAGATTTTGAAGCAGTTGTTGGTGACTTTGGTTTGGCAAAATTAGTTGATGTTCGAAATACTACCGTGACAACTCAAGTTCGTGGGACAATGGGTCATATAGCTCCAGAATACTTGTCCACTGGAAAATCTTCAGAAAGGACTGATATTTTTGGTTATGGGATTATGCTTTTGGAGCTTGTTACAGGTCAACGTGCAATTGACTTTTCACGTTTGGAAGAGGAAGATGACGTGTTATTGCTTGACCATGTGAGACAGCCTCTTTTTACTATCATGGTTTTTCTTTGTGCATGCCTCTTGGTGCTTTGATGATGTCTACTACGGTCTTTATGGATTACAAAGTGTGTCTACGTGAACATACGAAAAGTTGATTATGAATAGAACTAATTTTAAAGTGAGACAATTTATGTTTGAACAAGCATAAGATTAACTAATCTTTGTAAAGATATGTGCTTGTGCTAGTTATCTTCTTATATAACCTGTGTTATTCTGCTATACCTGTTGGTTACTATTTTTACTATATTTTGTTTGGTGTAGGTTAAGAAACTGCAACGGGAGAAAAGACTAGAGGTTATTGTGGACTGCAACCTTAAGAAAAACTACAACATAGGAGAGGTTGAAATGATTGTACAAATTGCATTACTCTGCACACAAGCATCACCAGATGATCGTCCAGCAATGTCAGAAGTTGTAAGAATGTTAGAGGGAGAAGGGCTAGCTGAAAGATGGGAAGAATGGCAGCATGTGGAGGTTGCTACGAGGCAAGATTACGAGAGACTACAAAGAAGAATGAACTGGGGAGAAGATTCAATTAATAACCAAGATGCCATTGAGCTGTCAGGTGGAAGATGATAAATTTAGACCCTTACGTTTGATGTTGTATCACACTATCCCCTTCGCAAGAGGTTAATTCGATTAAAAACAGACATAGGAGTTATTGTTTTCCAAGTGTAAAAATGTAGGTAATAAACTTCATATCGGAAAATTATGACTTCCTTCAGAATTTACTGAAACAAAATTTTTAAATAAAGCTAGTTATGAAAGGGAAGGGAAGGGAAGGAAACAACTCGTAAGTGAAGTTTCTCCTTTGACATTAGGAATCGGATGCCAATTTATTGCTGATTCTCAGTTACGGGAATTTGACCATGTTTATGTTTATCTGCGTTTATTAGATAACTGCAGAGATGCTTGCAAGATTATGACGTTAAAAAACTTAGGTGCATGACTTTGCACATGTAAATTGGAGTGTAGATATACAAAATATGAGGTGAAGTCAAGTCTAACCGCATGATAAAACTATAAAAGCAAAATCAGGTTTAACAAAGTTGATAGTTAATTGGATTCTTTTGACATATTGTCTGAGATTCGTTACTCCCTTCGATAATCTCCCCACCCAAAAAAGATAATATCAAACTATTGCTTAAGGAATATCCTCTGCCAAAATAAGAAAGAAATTGATAAAATATGGAATATTAAGGAAGAAATAGATCTCCTTCTCTACAGCTGGTGCTTACTAATGCTAGTGAATGAACATGGTGGTATTCAATTTCTGGGTCAAGCTTATGCAACTATTGTTTGGTTGCTATTAAAAAACCAGCTAAACACATGTAGTTGTCTTTTGTGGCACTTTGTTGCTTGGAAGTTGAAGCAACGGCTTTTGCCCATTCTCGGATCTTTGCTTTCATCCTCTCTGCAGCCAAATTAACCAGTTCTTCATGCTCTGCCACAAGGTACAAAGGTGGTTGCTGTGGGCAAAGGGGATTCCACTTTTCCAAAGTGATGGCACATTCTTTGTAATCCACGCCTGCCATTGCCATAGCTTCAATAGACATGTTTCTTAACAAGGATCAGAAGAGGATATAGTATATAATAATGCTAAGTGTGAGTTGTGATTTGAGGTAGCAGCTAGCCCAAGAGCAATTTATATAACAGAGGAAACAATGGTTGTTGTTGTGCTTTAATTTGCATTTAGGTAACTGAAAATGAAACCAGTTCACGAGTGTTGCATGGGCAAATTTCAGTTGTACATGTGATTTTATTTGTGTATTTCTCAAAATTCTAGATTAAGGATTTGTTGTTCACTACTTCACTCGGATGAGCAAAAGTCATAACTCACAATGCCTGAAATGGAACGGCATGCAATTGCAAGAAACATGTCAAATCCGTGGTCATTAATATCACCAATCTATCACTACTTCACTTTGCACTCAATCCAAGTTCGAAATGTGATCAATTTGGAAATAAATGCGATGGATGTGTGAAGTTGAGAAGTTAAGAACACAAGAGTAGCATAGTTCTTCCCAGTTCTGAAATTTTAGGTGTGTTAATCATATATTAAGTATGTAGACTGTAAATCGCTGTTGAGTTTAGTTGATTTTTTGTGATAAAATTTTTGAATGATCTCTTTCATTACTGAAAATGGTGTAGGTAATTAAATTATTAACCATTAGACTGGTTTCAATAATTTGTTTTTGACAAAAAAAATTAAACAATTACTTGAAAGTTGAAATTTTTAATTGAAAGTTCCTAAGTTAAATTACTACACTAGAAATGATTAAAAAACTAAATATTTTTACTACAATATAAATTAATTGTTGAATTAGTTTCATATTTTATCAAACATCAAAAATAGTGAAGCAATAAAAATAATCTGTGTAACGTTAAATTAATTTTAATAAAATAAATAATGTATAAATTTAAATGTTATTTCAAATTTTAAAAAATAGGACAATTTGCAGTTAGCAGAGAGGATGTAAATGACATTGTTCCTCTCTAATCTTATATTTTTAATAAATAAATTTCATCTTTCTTACATTTTCAATAAATAAATTTCATCTTTCTTATATTTTAAATGAAATAAAATAAAATAAAAGTTTCAAATAAAAAAATTATAATTTATTTTGTTTTAATAATAATTTTAGTATTAGGAAACAAAGTCAAACAGGAAAGACTTAAAATGATAACCAAACCCGATATATTTTGACCCATTTTAGCCATGTGGTCTCACTGCTTCAATCTGAGACATGCCCCTCTCAAATGCACAAACAGAGATGTACACTCCATGTAATCAACATCACCATTGCAAAAGCTTCAACTCAATTTCTATACCCTCATGTACCAAATTTGCCTAGTTTAGACATGAACCAAACTCACATTATTTATCTCTAACTTCTTAACTTCTACTCACACTGAGTTATCATGTTATGTTAAATGAATAAAAATAAACAAAAGAAAAATAAAAGTTTTTTTTGTTGAGAAAAAGAGTAATACAATAAAGAAAGAGATTGTTCAATTTCTCGTTGCAATTACATCCATACATATTTAAAGCATGTATTAGCATAGGTTTATTCATTAATGCTTGCGAATTAAACATGGCATTCAATTTGAAAGTTTCTCATTTGAGACACTCTGTTGCTTGGAACATGAAGCAATGGTTTTTGCCCACTCTCGGATCTTTGCTTTGACACCCTCTGCAGCCACATTAACCAAATCATCATGCTCTGCAAGAAGATACAAAGGAGGTTGCTGCGGATAAAGGTATCTCATGTTGGCAAATTTTGGGTCATGTATATATATGATACATATTTAAATGTGTTAGGGTCATTATTTATTAAGCCAAATAATAAAGTGATCTGAATAAATTAAAGTTTTGGCTAAAAATATATGTCATGAAAATATGATTGTGTAGAGACCATAGAGTAATTTCTAATTTGATGAGGGACCAAATTGAAAATATTAAAACTTAAGTAACCTAATTTTGGTTATATAAAGGGTCATGGTCCCCTTCTGAGAGCACACAGACAGAATACAGTTACAGTCCCATTCTTTTCTTTCTATCCCCGTCAAGAGAGAAAATCAAGAGGGAAATACAGGTGCTCTTCAGGTGGAAGACCATAACATCAAATCAAAAGTGCTCTACAAAGGATATCGTCATTATGGCCAATTCAAGTACGCTTTCACATTTAGTTTATAACATGTTTACAGTATGAGATTATAGATATATGTTTGATCATTAGAATGAAGATCATATTCAATTAATTACAGTTTATCCTAACATTGGTATCAGAGCAACCCATACTTGATTCATGTTTATCTTAAGAAATATTTAAAAATTAAGATTAATTTACGAACCCTTAATCCCTAATTAAAAACCCCAAAATTAAGAATCCTAGGTTTTCAATTCTCTGTTCCGCATGTGCATTATCCGGAGATGGCTAATTCAGGCCGCGCGACGCGACTCTGATGTAGTTGGGTTAAGAGGCACGGTGAGAGTGGTTTGCAGCGGCGATTGGGGAAGCGCGACTAAGGCCATGGTGGCCAGGTTAGGTCTCGCGGTTCAAGCGACGAACTTCCTCCATCAGCGGTAATGGCCAGTTCACGGTGCCATTCTTCGACGACGGTGGCGCACTCAAGAGGTTTCATACGGAGGTTTCGAGCGCTGGGTCATCCAGCCCAGATCTGGGGTCATCCACCCATTTGGGTAACCCGATTGCTGAAATGGCAGGGTTGGAGTGGAAGGAATGGTTCATACCTGGGCGGCACTTTCGAATACGACTTCCCCTGAGGCGCAATGACGAGGTGTTAGGTCTGAGTTCAATTGATCGCAGTGCAAGTGTGGGAGGGAATACATTTGGCAACACTGGAGTCAACTAGGGTGGTTCTTCAGCATGGCTTCACTCACGGGTATACTCCAAGTACGGTCGGAGGCTATGGACCTCGAGCGGATGGTAGATTCAGTCTAGTTGCCAGTGGTCAAAGTGGATTTGCTCCATTTGGTTCAGGTTATGGAATAAGCATGAATTTTGAGCCTAGTTTGAATGCTGAATTTGGGGGAAATGCAAATTTCAATAACAATCTTAGCTATGGTCGGGGAGTAAATCCTTATTTTATTGGCAGCTCCAATAGGTTTGGCAGTCCTGTTGGATTTGACAGTGGTAATGGAGGAAACAATTCTTTCTTCAGTTCTGTGACTAGAAATTTGTGGGGTAATGGTTACCTTAGTTATGGAACAAGTTCTGCAAATTCCAATGCATACATTGGATCAGGGAGTGGCAGAGAGGTTCATGGGCTTGTTTTGAATCGTGGGTTGTGTTTGGAAAGGTCCATAGCGTTGAAGTTGTACGGGAAATGTGGGGTGTTGCAAGATACGTGGAAGGTGTTCGAGGAAATGCTTGAACAAAGATGTTGTTGCGTGTACTGTTATGATGGGTTCGTCTTCGACCCATGATGCATTAGTTCTGCAGTGGCGATGGTTCATGTCTATGAATGTCGCTACATATATATATATATATATATATATATATATATATATATATATATATATATATATATATATATATAAATTAAAAAATTTCAAAACAATCCAACTTAAAAGTGCATATACAGAAATTATAAATTTTTTCCTTCTTTAGAATTATAAATATTCGGTTTTGCTATATAATTAATATATTCAATTTTTGGTAGTTTAATATTTTTTGTGAATAAATTGAGTCAAGAAGTTATCAAAGTAACATTTCTTGAATTGGGTAGTTCATAAAAAATATTGAATGTTAGTGTTTGTGTATATTCATGCGAGTATTAGTCGACCTAAAGGAAGATTAATATTTGGCTGAATTACATACACACCTGTAATGATAAACATGTGATAATTATAAGGATTTGCTTTGTCGATGATAAATCAATCCAAAGACTGGTTTGTTGTTGGACGTGCTTTATTGTCAATGTTTGATTATTACAACAAGATACCTCTAGCAGTTAATATTATCGTCCAAAGACTTGATATTGATGGTGCATTGGGTGTCTTGAGATGGGTTAAACCATTATTTGAATATATATTTTATTTATAATTATTTAATTTTATAATGTGAACATAATTAGTTTATTTCTTTTGTTCTAATCCAGTCTACAATTGCTTCAGTATCCGCCAATTTAAATTGCTTTCGGTCCTCAATGGAACAAATTTTAAGGACTCGGAAAGAGAACATTGATATTATTCTTGGCTGTATGGATATGGATCTTGCGTTAAGGATCGAGCAACCCTCTCGTTCCTACGGATTCAAGTACCTCTGAACAGAAAAGAGATTATGAAAAGTGGGATCGCTCAAATCGCATGAGTCTAATGATCATTAAGCGCGGCATCCTGGAGGTGTTTAGGGGCACTGTTTCTGAAAACATCACAAGTGCCAAAGAGTTCCTTGCTGAAATTGAGAAGCGCTTTGCAAAAAGTGATAAGGCGGAGGCAAGCACTCTTCTTCAGAACTTGATCTCCATGAAATATCAGGACAAAGGAAATATCAGGAAGTACATTATGAGCATGTCTAATATTGTTTTTAAACTCAAGGCACTAAAGCTCGAACTCTCAAAAGACTTGCTCATTCATTTGGTGTTGATTTCTCTTCCCGCAACGTTTAATCAGTTTAAGGTATCTTACAACTGTCAGAAGGATAAATGGTCTCTTAATGAACTCATTTCACATTGTGTACAAGAAGAAGAAAGGTTAAAGCAAGACAAGACAGAAAGTGCTCATTTTGCAAGCACCTTTAAGGTTAAAGGCAAAAGAAAGAGATCGGAGGATCCCAAGAAGGAACTGCTAAAGGTCCAGAACAAAAGAAACAAACTCAAGAAAATAAATGTTTCTTTTGCAATAAGACTGGACACGTAAAGAAGCAATGTGCTAAATATCATGCTTGGCGTGAAAAGAAAGGGTTGCCTAAACTACCGGAAGTCAACTAATTCTGAAAGATGAATATACGTTGAAAATGGCAAATTGGTGGAGATGGAGACTATTGAACATTTTAGATTATTATTGTGTACTGGTTTTTTATTTTAGATTTAAAAGACATTTTTTGTCATGCCGTCTTTTAGACGGAATTTGATTTCAGTTTCTTATTTGGACAAATTAGGTTATTTGTGTTCATTTGGAAACAATAAGTTAAGTTTGTCTTTTAATTCAGATATTGTTATAATTGGTTCATTTTTTGGCTAATGATAATCTATATTTATTTGATACTGTGGTCACCTATAATGCAACTCTTAATACAGAATCTCGTGGTACTAAACTAAAATTAGACTCCCGAACAGTAAGTAGTTACTTCATTGGTTATTCTGAAAGAGTTAGGGGATATAAATTTTATGATCCCACATTAAAGACAATTTTTGAGATGGGAACTGTCATGTTCTTTGAGGATATTGACTTTGGGGGGAAGAATAAGATTAAAAATTTTGTATTGAAGGAAGAATCGACAATAAATCCAGAACCGATTCAAACAGTTACTTTTGATAAAGTAAGTTCGGAACCTCCACAAGACATTGATGATAAACCCCATATTCAAGATGATTTGATTGTTCGTCAAGACCAAACTCAAAGATCCTCAAGAACCTGTGCGTCATGAGTCGGGGATACTCCAGTTACTAAGGGAGACAAGTTTAGTCTAAATTAGTGCCCAAAGGGGATTTTTGGAAATTGAGGAAATGCAACAGATTCCCCATGCATTAGCTATCGGGAGTTTGATGTATTCCCAAATATGTACGTGTCCAGACATAACATACATAGTTGGGGTTCTAGACAGATATTTAAGCAATTCAGGAATAGACCATTGGAAAGCAGCAAAAATGGTCATAAGATATTTAAAGAGAACAAAAGACTATATGCTCACATACAGGAGGTCAGACCAGTTGGAGATCGCTGGATTTTCTGACTCATATTTTGCAGGATGTCAAGAATTTGTAGCATGCTATGAGGCATCAAATCATGGAATATGGCTGAGAAATTTTGTCACAGGGCTGCAAATTGTGAAAGGCATTGAAAGACCACTTAAGTTATATTGTGACAATAAATCAGCTGTATTGTTAAGGAAAGAGTACAAAGTGGACAGATTTCTATAGAACACTTAAGGACAAACTCCATGATAGCATATCCTCTAACTAAAGGACTTCCGCCTAAGGTCTTTCATGAGCATGTTGCTCACATGGGTGTTTTACAGTTTGAGGAATTTGTGGTTTAATGGGAGTTTGTCATTTTCATATATTTTATGTTCTATGTTTAATTTTATATATGTATACATTGTTTTTTGGACATATTTGGTTATCTATAGATATGCGGTTTTCTTGTTCATTCATTACACTTTGTACATTAAGGTTATTGTATCGATCTCGATAAGTTAAAGTTTGGACCAGTTGAAAATAGACGTGTACAGATCACCTTCACGTAATTTTTCATGCTACACATTTCATGATGAATCCATGTCATTTGGTTATGTCAGGATGAGTAATCTTGTTGGTTTTAGTTGCGATGATGCAATGAAAAGCTGGTTTGGTTCTGTATCCTGATATGATTAATGGACAAGACTTTTGGAATATGCTAAAGGAATATAATGACAATTTTGAGTTCATAAAGTCTAACACATTTGTAAGGTTGTAAAGACACATATATTTGTGACCAGTGGGAGATTGTTGGCAAATTTTGGGTCATGTATATATATGATACATATTTAAATGTGTTAGGGTCATTATTTATTAAGTCAAATAATAAAGTGATCTGAATAAATTAAAGTTTTGGCTAAAAACATATGTCATGAAAATATGATTGTGTAGAGACCATAGAGTAATTTCTAATTTGATGAGGGACCAAATTGAAAATACTAAAACTTAAGTAATTAACCTAATTTTGGTTATATAAAGGGTCATGGTCCCCTTCTAAGAGCACACAGACAGAATACAGTTATAGTCCCGTTCTTTTCTTTCTATCCCCATCAAGAGAGAAAATTAAGAGGGAAATACAGGTGCTTTTCAGGTGAAAGACCATAAGATCAAATCAAAAGTGCTCTACAAAGGATATCGTCATTATGGCCAATTCAGGTACGCTTTCGCATTTAGTTTATGACATGTTTACAGTATGGGATTATAAATATATGTTTCATCATTAGAATGAAGATCATATTCAATTAATTACAGTTTATCCTAACATCTCTTCCAAAGCGATGACACATTCTTTGTATTCCATTCCTGCCATTGCCATAGCTTCAATAGACATGTTTCCTAATAGGGATGTAAAATGATGCTGCTTAGTGTGAATGGTGATTGGGGTCGCAGCTAGCTAGCTAGCCGCAAAACCAATTTATACAGAAACCAAACAAAGGTCACGTTTTCAGAACTAGATTCACGGATGTTGCATGGCTGAACTTTGTTGTAGACTTTCTAATTCTACGTGTGATCTCTCTCTTTAATTTATATTGTTGGTTCAATTGGATCAGCAATAACGTCATTCAGTCAATGCCTGCAACGCCATGCAAGAACATGCATGTTAAACCCGTGGTTGGTCATCACCGTTATTCACCAATACCATTAACATATTTCTCTCCTTTCAGAACCTTATTTTAAATGTGACCAATTTCGGAAGGGAGGATTCGGACACATAAAATGACATGTCATGCAGAGTCTTGGATAATTTTGAAGAAAAAAATAATTGGAAAAAATTCGTCAATCAATTACAACACAACCATGTGAAATAAATAATATATTCTGCTTTTTAAGGAGAGTTGATGATTACGCACAAAACTCACTATTTAAAATTCATCAGAATGATTTGAGAGTAAGTGTTTATTTCATATGCGGCATTTTAGGTAAATATTTTGAGTTACTAATTGTATCGTAGATATGTGTGTATCTCTCTTCAACACTCTAGCATTCCTTATGTTAAACCACGTAAATTAATAACATTTATTTTTCTTTGAAAAACAGTCATTAATTCAGCTTTTTTAAAACAAATTATTTGCTCTGTCACCCTTTCTCTTGTTTTGCATGAGTTTCTACTGATTTTCATGCATTGAATTGAAGAATCACAAGGTAAAAATACAACAAAAAGTTATTGATATATATAACAAAGCTGAATAATAAAGGAATATATGGACATATACATCCTCAAAGAACAAATAATAGAATACAATCGGTCAGTATAAAAAAAAATAAAAGCAGAATGTAATCACTTCTGAATGGAATGCATTAAATGGTGACTATCCATTATAAGAAGTATCTCTGAAACTCTAAGATCAGCTTTGGTGTGATTGTCTGAAGCAACTGCTATGGCCCATTCGCGCATCTTCATTTTCACCCACTCCATGGCCATGTCATTGTCCAACCTCGTACAAGTGCTGCAATGGCTTCTCTCAGCCTCAGGACTTAAACTTTGGTTAAAGCTCTGTTCCAAAGCACGAACATTGATTGCATTCTCCATGTAATCCATACCAGCCATTGCAAAGGCTTCAACTGACATTCACAAAACCTTAATGAGACCACGTACCGAGATTGGCTTTCTGTAGTAGATGTGATGTATATAGAAAAGAAAAGTAGCAAATGATTTATATTATGATTTAGTACATGCAAAATATGGAAGACTATACCTTATAAATACCATAATGTCAGTATATTGTTCCTTTTTGGCTGCTAAAAATGTGAAGGGTGCACGGGCTTTTCATGAAACTATGTAAAATGTAGAACGTAAAACTTCGGTCCTTTGTCTGAGCTTCAAATCTCTGACCGCACGGGCGTTAATTAATCTCCTGCAACAAAAATATGGAAAATAAGTAATGTCATAGAAATATTGTGTGAATTTATATACTGTGTAAATATTATAAATATGAATTCATATATATACATATATTTATACAGGGGTTTTGACCAGTGGGAACACAATTGCCTTATCCAATTAGTTAACAATAATCTCATGGGACACGTAAGCACATGGTTGACCATTAGGAATTTGACAAATCTATCTAGTATTGCTTTTGAATTATGTTTCTCTTAAGGGAAAAGTTTGTTTTAGTGAAAAATAAAAAGAAGTTAATTAAGATAATTAATATAATGGTTTATACTATGTATGGATATTATACCCTTGTTATAAAATGTGAGCATATTTTGTTCTGGTTTAAGAGTTCTTTACAAACAAATAAATAGAGAAATAAAAAGTAATTTTCGTGTTCTAAAATAAATAATTTTCCTTTTTAATTATATATATATATATATATATATATATATATATATATATATATATATATATATATATAAATTTAATGTTGGTTTAACTGACCGAAATTACCGTTCGAACGTTATGAGAAACTAAAAGAGTGGGAGTGTGAATGGTATAATTGGCATAATGCAGGGTCAATTGTCCAACCATTGAACTAAACACGTCAAACTATGACCATGGAACTGAGAAGTAGTACAGTTCTACGAGACCACATTATCTTCACAACTCATGTGACTTCCATTGCTGTTTGCTAGAGTTCGTCAAGGTTCATGAAAATAAAAGGTGACCAAGTGCTTATATAAAACTATATTGCTTGACCATTGCAGATGAGTAACTTGGTCATTGTAAAAGATGATGTACGCAATTACGATGGAGCTCATTCTGTGGAATGATTCTTGACTAGAAATAATTAATTTATTCAGTCCATGTTTCTCTTATTAGTCAAGGGCGATGTTCCAAACAAATTTCAGAGATTATATGAAATCTCATGTGGAAAGTGACAATTTGTGCTAACCATCAAAACGTTAGTGCAAGATGTGAATTATTCAAACCCTCCTCTTCCTACATGAATCTTAGTTATGAGTCTTGCAAATGGAAACATATAACTTGTACAAATTCCCATGTTATTATAATCCAAGGGTGGTTAATTTAAAAAAAATAAAAAATATGACAGGGTAAAATATATGATAAATACACGTTTATAATTTTTTGGAAAAGCATAAACATCTGTTAAAAAACATATATAGATGTTTGTTGAGAGAGAACTTTTATATGACGGACTTCTATGTTAACTTCAATTTTAACCATACTTTTCTTTCTTTCTTTCTCTTTAATTATCGTTTAAGATTTTTATGATAAATATTGTTGCCTTAGTTATAACTATCAGCACTAAACTATAAAAAAAAAAAAAGATGTATACTTTGTGATTTGTTTTCTTTCACATTCCCTTTCGTCTCTGTGTCATCCAAACAAAACAACTAGGTAATTAAAACTTGCATATAATCAAATTCTCCTACTTTCATGCGAAATTTCCCATCCTTATGTAAAACTCACGTGGAGAGGCGTTAAACTAGAATGAAACATTGAATATAGAACATGGAAATTTCTAGTCTTTTTTTTTTTTAAATTGTTATTAGAACTAAAATTTATTGGAAATCACCTATTGAGACAGATCCACTTAAATTAAGTCATTTTCTGTTTTCTATAAAACATATAAAACTGAGTTTCTGTTAATAAACAGTTTCCTTATTTTTATTTAAAAATAAATAAATTAAGAAAGGATAGTCATAGTCATAGTCATACTTACACATAATCAAGTGTAATTGCTACATTACATGTTTATTATCTATGGAAGATATAGAAAAAATTTCATCGACAATATCCCCTCTAAAGGACAGAAAATAATTTTATTCCCTAAAAGAGGAAGCTCTATTAGGAATGATGAAGCCGAATATTTATTTGTTCTCATAATTAATGTCATCAAATTGTTAGGAAACTAGACCTATATATAGTTATTACATAATCCAGCTTCCTAGAACCTGAATCTCTTGTCCATATAGCACAAGAACATGATTAATGTTTTAAGTGCTCTGGCCATTATTTTCATGGATCTCGCACATTGTGATGTAGTTTCGACGGTTCTATCCATCTTTTCTTGGATATTGGTGAAGGTGACACCGTTTTCTTCTTCCTCGTCATATTCCCGTGCGTTGTGATTGGGAAGAAAATGGGTGGTAGGAAGGCCATAAACATGACCCTTCTTTAACCTTCTCACTCTATTGTTCCCTTCTTCCTTTTCTTCTTCTTGGGCTAGTAAATGGGGTGGTGGATATTCCTCCAAATCTTTGCGTTCCCACTCTTCAATGTCCATGCCGAATTCCACGTCACTTGCACCTGCCATTGCCAACGCTTCCAAAGAAACCAACATTGTCTCCTGGCTGTTTGTAGAAAATCAAATTCTTGTTTTCAGAGAGGTTTAGTCGTCTTGTCTCAATTCTCTGATGCTGAGAAATGTTCAATTGCTTCAGTTTGCAGGTTGTGTTACAAATTATACTATATATAGAGAGAGAGAAAAAGAGTTTCAACTTAAACCGTGTGGGTGCATGGAGAATCACGTGACATGAGGTCAGCCAAGAACACAGATGATTGAGGTGAGTGGTGAAGCAATTGCGAACGTATAGCTGTCGTCAAATTTCTATCCCAGGATATTATGAATTGGAGGCAGCCGCCATGACTATCTATCTCCAGCATGCCTATATTGTTGTTTTTTTTTTCATTATTACATTAGCTAATATTTTTTTTTATAAAGAAAAAAAGTTACCTTATTTTCATCCTACTTTTTTCCCTATCTTCACACAACTTTAAAAAAAACAAAAAAAAAGATGTTCTTAATAAAAGTATTATTGATGGAATCGTGTTTTTTTTCATCAAATGTTTATAACAAACCAGATAACAGTTCACGTCATTATTTGAAATTAAATATAAACAAACAAAAAAAAAGTCATCTTAGGTACACTTAAATATAAACAAATTACAACTACCTTAGTTAGTCCTATTTAATACTATTATTTCAAAAATACCTTCTATGTGTCATTCATAATATGAAACAAAAAATATTAAATTAACCTAACTGTTATTCTTAATTCAGTATAAAATAGTTAATTTTATTTATATTTAAGTTCAGATATAGTTTTCATTAACTTTTGTATCTTTCAAATCAGAATATTACTCTCTATGTGCTTGCGTGTGTGTCTAATCTCCTTTTGTCAAACTCTAGTTTCATGAGCATTCTTACATTAGCTACCTAAATTATATTCTTTATTCTAAATTATTTTTGTCAAATATTTAGAATCAATGAGATATAAATCTATTTCATGTCATTACTACTTTAGTTTTTGTATCCTCGTATTCATTACTACATTAGTCTTTGTATCCTCTGGGAAAACATCACACCCTCTATATGTGTATGCTTGTGTTTCATCTTTTCAAACTTCGGAAGTGATTGACCAATAATATATAAATTTTATGTACATGTATGTTTGTGTCCCAACTCAACTACATTTTCGTACTTTGGAAGCAGTCGCGGATAACATGTAAATACTCTAAAAAATTGGAATAGTGTTAAAATATTGGAATATGTGGACTCGTGCAAGAAAAGTTTGAGGACGGGTTTGGTTGAGAGAAAAGATAAAGATAGATGAAAAAAGAAATTATATTAGTATTGGTAGAAGAGAGAAATGACAGAAAATAATTAATAGAAAATGGTACAAGAAAAATCTTATTTCTCACCTATTTTAATCTTATTTCCCACCTATTTATACTTCTTATCTATTTTCATCTCTTCTCTAGTTATCTTCAACCAACTGAGAACTCTACTTTTCACTTTATTTTCATTCTCTACTTATTCAAAAATAACATGATGTATACTTGTTCTCTCGACCACGTACACTCTTAACGATGACTAAAATAATTTGGTATCATCAGTCATGCCAAGTGTGGAGGGACCTGAAAAGACATGGTGTTTGAAAAAGGGGCTTGCGTGTTTGAAAAAGGAGCTTGCAAAAACGCAAGCCCCAAAAAGTGAAGATTATGAAAACCCTGATTTCAATTTTATGCGTAGTTAAAGCTCAACACATCTTTTATTGCCCATCCCCGACAAGTGAGGAATCAAAGCCTGATTCCAATTTTATATGAAGTCTCTCCAACACATCTTTCCATTTTGGACCCTTCCATCTAATTCACCGTCATTATCAACAACACCCTTCAATCTCAAAGGTGAACATCTTCACATTCAGAACCTGCTTTTGTTGCCTTGTACCATGATCAAAATTAGAGTAAAGAATATTTTTGATGTGGATAAGTGTGATGTCTTCCAATGTTATAAGAAAATTTTAATGCTTCAAAACCTACATGGAATATCATTGTGTTTATTTATTTGATTATTTAAAATTTCTGTAGAAACAAAAATAGTAGTGATCTTTTATTCATCGTGTGCAAAATAAACACTATTTAATCCTCCAATAACATAAGGACATAATAAATACAAATCTAGCAATAAAGAGATATAAATACAACACTAGCAATAGAATATGAATATGAATATTCTCTAAATACATAGTGAGAAATCTATAAAAGGATCGAGAAAGTAAAGGGAAACAAAAAATCGAGAACTATACAAGGGATTAACAAGTCGATGCAATTGCTAAAACAAAACCTGGTAACGTTAAGGATATCGAGAATCAAAAGCAAATCCAAAATTCTCGAAGTTGCGAAATCTAAAATCGAAGGAAATGCTAATATACGTGAATATCGAAATTTTTGCTAAGAAGAACGGTCGACGTATACATCGAACATAGTAAGCGGTAGCAAAAGTCGAAGGTCAAGGGAGCGGTTACCTCATTCATGGGAACGTGGATACAGTTTCTAAACCGCAGAGTTAGGAACAAAACTGCAAAAGACGTGCACAGAGAACGTGGTAGTAGTCTTCGTTAACTGCTCTTAAGAGACCACTTGAAAAGACACTATAAATAGAGCAAAGGATGAAAGGAAAAGGGAGCAGAAAATTGGCAGAGAACATAATCATTAGTGAGAAGTCTACCGGAGAAACGACGAATATCATGAAGCTTCTGGCAATCTGGATTTCCATGTTCATTGAGTACCTTTACCGTTTTCTGTATTTTCCTTGGTAATTTACTTTGATGCAATTTATCTTTAGCAATTTTATGTTTCTGTACTTTCGATTTTTGGTCATTTCGATTCAATGAAAGTTAAGTTTCCGCGTTTAAGTTTTCTTGTCATTTAACATTAATGCAATTTCGATTTCCAAGTTATTTATACTTTCTGCACATTTGATTTACTGTCATTTATACTTCCTGTTATTTACATTTCTGCTGTTTCGATTCCCTGTCTTTTATACTTAAAGCAAATTTAAGATTTCCGCATGTTACGTTTCTTTGCAATCTAATGTTCAGCACTGCTTTTCGATTCCACGAATTTTCTGCTTTCTTTACTTCGAGCACTTTAAATATAAAACACCAAAAATAGTATCTTTGAAATCGGGCAAAATTCGATCTTCATACACATCTCGATTGAAAATTAATTTGCTAGCCTAAGTAAAAAGAACTTACGTCACTAGTGCAAAAAAGGCTTTTTATGTCGGTTAAAGAGGCGACATAGATACAGGGGTCATAGAAAGTATGAATTTTTACGTCGGTTGTGATGAACCGTCATAGAAAGTATGACTTTTTATGTCGGTTGTAATGAACCGACATAGAAAGTAATGGACTTTTTACAAAAATTGTCACTGGTAGGATTCGAACACAGTACATTAGAGTCTTGAATTAGACCAACCACTACACTAGTACGATTTTTATTTATTTATTCATATTATATTTTTATTATACTTTATAATATATTATTTTATTATCTCGTTTAAGAGATTTGTGTCTAACAAGATTCGAACCCAATACCTTAGAGTTGGAGACCGATACTCCAACCACTAAACTACTACAAATTTCTAATACATAACTTACAAATAAATTATATTTATATACAAAATATATAAATACAAATATATTTATATATTTTGATATATAAATATTTATATACTTATATATTTAATTTTTTTTATTTAATATACACTTTCTATGTCGGTTAAATTTCAACCGACATAGAAAGTACTTTTTATGTTGGTTAAAAATTTAACCGACATAAAAAGTACTTTCTATGTCGGTTAAAATTTAACCGACATAAAAAGTTCACTTTCTATGTCGGGTAAAACTTAACCGACATAGAAAGTTCACTTTCTATGTCGGGTAAATTATAACCGACATAGAAAGTTCACTTTCTATGTCGGGTAAATTTTAATCGACATAGAAAGTGAACTTTCCACTTACTATGTCGGTTAAAATTTACCCGACATAAAAAGTTTATGATTTAATTACAAAATTGCCACCGCGCTACATACTATGACGGGTGAACTACGACCGTGATAAAAACTCGTCATAGAATGCTATTTTTCCACTAGTGCGTGGTAGAATTTTGATTAGGATCAAAATATCTTAAGAGTCGAAATGGATCGAAATTCCACCAGAAACAAATTGGCGCGCCAGGTAGGGGAAGCCTTGTGTTAAAAACACAAAATTGGTTAGTTCGAGAGTGTATGAGACTAAGGAGTGGGCGAGTTATAAGCATGAGTCAAAATTCATCAAATAACCAGAGTAACAGTGAGGGTCTGAATGGTGTACATTCACCAAATACTGGGGGGCAAAGTCATAATGGGAATATGCCTATAATAGTGACAACTACGAGTATGTCGATACCTGTGGGTAACGAACAAAATTCAGGTACCTTAACAAACACCCAAGTAGGATCTAATGCGGTGGTACCAAATAATATGCAAACTATAGGAAATCCCACAACAACATATGTAGGGCCATATGTGAGTGTAAGACCGCCTGGGTTTTCGCTTAATAATACGAGCGGGGCTGGAACTTCTTCAACACAGCGGAATTCGAGATATAACTTAGGAATGCCTCAAACACTGGGCATGCCCCAAAATTTTGGAGTCCCTCCGAATTTAGGGACATCTAAAAACTTAGCAATCCCCCAGAATTCAGGAAGTGGACAGAATTTAGGCACACAACAAACGCTTCCAAATCTAGATCATAGAGGAAATCTAGATCATAGAGGAAATTTGGAACATGGAAGATATATATTCGATAGAGATTATCATCGATCCAATTTTGAGACTATCGAAAACACTGGTACTGGGATATCCAGTAACTCATTAGGGATACTTAGACAACAAATGGATGAGAGCAATTTTGAGATGGTGAATATGTTGTCACAATAGTTGACTACAGTCCTAAACCCATTAGTTCAAAACACTACTGCTAGTTTTGAGATATTAGCAGACCAAATGTCACG